TTTTTTTAAAGGTAAGTTGGAAAGTGCAAAGCATTGACTGTCAGTTTCCTTTAAGAATTATTACCAAATGGAAATGACCCAATGGCTATTTCTTAAATATACACTCAGTTTACATGTCAAAAAGTCACAGGTTAACTTTTCCAATCCTAATTTACAGCACAGTTTAATACCGTGTCTCAACATGTAATCCATTATAGCTGTGCAGGTGTTTCAGACAGGGAGAGTTGAATTCTGGGTAAAACTAACCAGAATAGACGTGATAATAAAATACTTTTTATGTGTCTTATACTCACAATGGGGTTTAATCAATAAACTTTAAACTGTAGGAAATTAAAATTGAAATGACGACAATTTGGCAAAGAAAGCGGATATATAAAAATATATATAAACAACAACAATACAGCTTGACTATATTAGTTTGAATTTTGTCATTCTGAGTTGAATTTGTTGCAGTTTTGTACTTTCCATGTATTGTTAGTTAAAGGGACTCTATAATCATCAGAACAACTACAGCTTATTATATTTTTTCTGGTGAGTGTAATTATTCACTTCAGGCTTTTTTTTCAGAGAGAATTCTGTGTTTACATTACAGCCTAGGGATACCTCCACTGGTCACTCCTCAGATGAGCAGTACTGCCATTCAGTGTCTCCAAACTCTGCATGCGAACACTGAATTTTCCTCATAGAGATGCATTGATTCCATTCATCTCTATGAGGAGATGCTGATTGGCCAGAGCTGTGTATGACTCATGCTGGTTTTGCTCCTGATCTACCTCCGTGACAGTCTCAGCCAATCCTATGGGAAAGCATTGTGATTGGCTCACAGAATCACTTCTGATGATGTCAACAAAAAGCAGACCGTTTAGGGGCAAAGCCTGCAGCAGCAGATTGGAATAAAAGTAAGATTTTACTATATTTAGGGAGACAAGGGAGGGCCTGTGGGGCTAGATGGCATTTTTAACACTATCAGGTCTGGAATACATGTTTGTGTTCCTGACCCTATAGTGTTCCTTTGACAGCTAAAATAGTGGCATGGCTTAGTAGTTAGAGCGCAGAATATAGGAATAAACTGAGAATGTCCGAAGTGAAGTACAGGTAAGGATATGGCAAAGACGAGGTCAGGCAGCACAGACTCGTAAACAGGACACAAGCCATAGTTCAGGCACTGGATTCAGAACAGGAGGAAGGCGTCACCGATCACAGCATGGAGCACAGAATACTGATCACTGGTTGCAGGTATGAGCAGGTTTAAATACGAGAGAAGGAACACACACCCTTAGGTGTCCTACCTGCCTCCTGGCTACTTCCCCTTTTAAGAATACCTCATGGAATCTTCAAGAATCCTCATGATCGGCGGTTGTGCGTCTAGTCTGATAATTGTGCAGGATAGTTTGGTCAGGCCTGAACAACTACATGCGGCCTCTGCTTCAATTGGTGCAGCATGGTCTGGTGTTTGGCAGCGAGGAGTGGTGGAGGTAAGAGTCGGGTCTGGTGAGAACTTGACAAATAGTTCTAATTTGTACAGTTAACACATTTACTAACAACTCTGTTTGATTAGTAAATGACTACTAATGCAAAAAAAAAATTTGTTCAGGTTTAGTTTGTTACACTTTATTAATTCTTGTTTGTGAATTAATGGGACACTCCGGGCACCATTAACAACTACATCACAATTAAGTTGTCATAGTGCAAGGAGGTCCTGGGCACCTGAAGAGGTTAAACTGTTAACAAATGAGTTAACCCCAAAGTCTGTGAAACAGTGCCTTATCCCTCTGCCTTTTCACTTCCTATGCGGATCGGTCTTCAATCAGGAAACCTTGGACAAGGCACCAGTGACAGGCTGTGAGCTTCAGATGATGATCAGTAGCTTCCCATTGGGAAAAGTTAGTGAAAAAGATAGGTTCACTTTTATCAGTGGGGAGCTATTAGTAGACTGAGAGCGTCAGCTCACACTTTTTAACCTTTTAACCTTTGCCTGTTCCAAGAGCTTCCTGATTGAGGCTTAGGACCTGCATAGGACGTCAAGAGGCAGAGTAATTGGGCGCCATTTTATGGACTATAGGGTTTACCTCCTTATGGTAACACAGCTCCCAGGACCAACTATCACCATAACAACCTAATAGCGATAAAACTATTATGGTGCATGGAGTGGTCCTTTAAGGTCTTAGCTCTCATTGATGAAGATGTAGTATAAGGCAATTCTTGGTGAAAAAAAGGTCAGAACGGAACACTATGTTTAAAAACCAGTTTAGATAGAGGAACCCTATAGCATTAGGAATCTAAACTTGTATTTGTAAGTCTATTATGCCCCTGTCTCTATTTAGATACAGGTCCCCCCACTTTCAAATAAAATTGATAAAAGAAGGGTGCAGAGCCTCCCTCGGCACTACTCGCCTCTCTCCCTCCTGCAATGTCATCGAAGATGCATGTCCTCCTCTGGCGATGGTCCAGTCCCCAAGGTGCATGTGCAGCGAGCGCCACAAGTGCTTCCAAGCTTTGTGAACATTTTTTAATGTTTTACTTTGCAGGGTTAAAAGCACCCAGAGCACACATGGAGATGACGTGGTCTGGGTGGCTATAGTGTCCCTTTAATGTTTTACATTGCAGGGTTAAAAGGACAGGGCCACAGCACTCAGAGCACACATTGAGATGATGTGGTCTGGGTGACTATAGTGTCCCTTTAAAAGAAAATAGTAAAATCTCTTGCTCTTTTATTTTATTATGATTTTATTTAAACCAGAAAGGGATAGCCAAAGAGTTTATTCTGAGTAAATGGGACTCAATAATAAAAGTATCTTTAAAGGCGATAACAAATTCTGGACACATTACATCTAACGGTAAACATTTTATTGTACACTTGAGTCTTTATGTTCGTGGAAAACATGTTTCACATAGGAATAGGACAAATGGTCTGTCATATATTAAACTGTAAAAACTGTCACTGGGAATAAAAAATTAATAGCAAATGAGGTACATTTTGTTTCTTGTGTTAAATATATCATAGTACTAAAACTCTATTTGATAGTTCGTAAGGACACTTTTATTGTTAACTGTAAAAAGGGAGATTGGAAAATGAACATGTAACTGAGAGAAGTTTTGTAGTATGGACTTAATGTCATTTTTGGCCATGTGTAGGTCCTGTAGAGCTGTTGATGTAGCCTGTCGACATGGCACACAATCTGAGTAATCTCAATCACTCAGGGAGAGGGACCTGGGCTTGCCAATGGATGGTGAAGACTAGAGAGGAATCTTCAACACTTCCCATAGATATCTATGTGTATTGCCATTGAGGAAAATGATTCTAATTGTGTTTCACATCTCATCTATCCCAATCGTTCCCCTGTGTTTCGGGGATTGTGCTAAGAATGGAACCTTTACTCAAATTTGATGGCAGTGCTGCAGGGTACCCTGTTTGGGTTTTTTAACTCATAAACCAACTCTAGGGGAAAGACCTTAGGCCCAACATTTGCTGCCTTTGTTAAATGAACACTATAGTGTTAGGAATACAAACATATATTCCTAACATTTTAGTGTCCTAGTGCATGTTTAGATGCACCCCCCTCATTTTGGCTGTCGAAGAAAAGAGGCAAAAACATTTTTTATTTACCTTTTCTCTAGCACAGAGACTCGTTCAGCGCTGCTGTCCACTCATACTCTCGCAACGTAATGCTGGAGACATCGCTTGCAGAATGGTAGTCCAGTCTAATGCTTCTCATAGTGGAGCACTGGGGACACCAACTTTTACAAAGCTGCCCTGCCCTGAAGTGGTCTGGGTTCCTTTGGTGGCCCTTTAAATGGCATTCTTTCCTCAACTCTGCTTCCATCGGATATACTGAAGCTATGCCACATGATGTCTACTGTGCTAGGCACTTTGTGACACGGTGGCAGAGGGATCCCATAATTTGAGATGCTTGTAAACCGGATTAAGTGTTCATTAAATGGAGGAGGTTCTCGGCTAATCCTTGGCACACCATGAGAGATGGTATCCCTGGAAAAATTACAATCTCTAGTTAAATTCCAGTTAGTCTACTCATGCCCTGCCTGTGCTTGGCTAATGACTCTGAAGCGCATGCCCGCTTTCCGCCTTCTCCTCGCCTTTTACCTCTACGCCTAATTTCCTTTCCCCCATCTTCAACATCTCTCCCTCCCATTGTGCATGACCTATTTGAACTCTTCTCCTCTCTTTGCTATTCTAATATTTTGTTTATATTATTTTTATTGTCTTTATTGCTTTTTTCTCCCCCTTCATCATATGCCATCCACTTCTCAGATTAGTGGTGGGTTAATTATAATAAAACACTGCAAGGGAAGATGGTGTTCTGTTACTTAGGTTTTGTCTACTTTAGGCAAAAACATCACAAGTATAACACCTTCCATATTTTGAATATATTTCAGGCTTGGAGTGGAAGGGTTATGCTTGTTCTGTATTTGGCTTTATTGACAACTTGAAACATTGCTGAAATATTAATGCCTCGCCTCTATCTTAAGGACACATGACATGTGTGACATGTCATGATTCCCTTTTATTCCAGAAGTTTGGTCCTTAAGGGGTTAAATCACCCAATAGCCATCTTCTAGCTTTTCCTGAAATTTGTATTTACTTCCTTAGGCTCTGGCACACGGCGTCTCTCTCTCTCTCTCTTTACGCTACTATTCGCATATTTGTTATCCTGTCTCCTTTAATGCACAATGCTGTTTAACCTACATATATTTATTTTTAATTTTATTATATAATATTTTTCCTTCCTCAATAAAATATGTTTATACGAAAAAAAAACCTGTTAAGTGAAAATGAGATGGCAATGTGGGAGAGTATAATAGATTTCTTTATTTGGTAGATAAATTGATTGGAACACACAATTCAGCTCAGTCTATTTGAAACCTGCACGTTTTACAAATCTGTTGGGGTTCGTAGCCTTTGATCTGCTTGGAAAGTGGAAAGTAAAGTCTTCTTTTGAAATGGTGATGAGCCGTAGGCTGTACTTATTCCTTCCTTATCTCTGTTTCAGCAATCTCCCTATAGAAGCCTGACGGAAAGAGTCTAAATATGTTTGTAACAACACAAAGAGCCTCTGGTATGTTATTTTGACTTTTTTATTCATTTTATATATATTTTAACTTTTTATTACCTTTATTGGTTTCAAATTTAAGATTCAGGTTTCCTTTTGTTGTGATATAATGTGTTTTAAGTTGTCGGTTAATAAATATATATGTGTAAAAGAGGAACGTTCCCAAAAATATTAAAGGATCACTATAGTGTCAGGAAAACAAAGCTGTTTTCCTGACACTATAGTGCACTGAGGGTGCCCCTTCCCGTGGCGCTGAAGGGGTTAAAACCCCTTCAGCAGTTTACCTCTCCTCCCCCTTCCAATGTCACTGGAGCCGAATGTGCGGCTTTCCTATGGACGCTCTGCACGATGGAGGCGAAATGTGCCTCCAGCGTCACGGCTGCGCCTCTAGTGGCTGTCCAAGACAGCCACTAGAAGCTGGATTAACACCAAATGTAAACATAGCAGTTTCTCTAAAACTGCTATGTTTACAGCTGCAGGGTTAAAACCAGAGGGACCTTGCACCCAGACCACTTCATTGAGCTGAAGTGGTCTGGGTGACTATACTGTCCCTTTAACACTGTTACAATGCATTCAAGGGAATCAGACTTACTAATAGCTTATTTTGAAAACACAAGAACTTTTTGTTCCTTTAATCACGCTTATGCTACTTGGTTTTTACGTTAGTGCTTTTTGTTTAATTCTTTATTTAGAAAACTTTTCAAAACAATCATGAAATAATTTAAACAGTCAATATTGTTATGACCAGAGGCATAAAAAGTCAGGTCGTTATGTGTCTAATTACTATTGCACAATAGAGAAAATAACGCTGATGTAGCAGTGTATCAGTGTTATAATGGGGATTATTTGCTAAACAAGAAATCATAGTGAATTGAAAGCTGAACCTGCAAAACTCTGGGGAAAATGGTTGATTTGAAAAAAATTATCCAACTGGGGTATACTCACATCTTGTGTATTTACCTTAAAGGAACATTATAGTCACCAGAACCACTACAGCTTATTGTATTTGTTCTGGTGAGTATAATCATTCCCTTCGGGCTTTTTGCAATAAGCACTGTTTTTGTTAGAGAAAATGCAGTGTTTGCATTACAGCCAAGGGATACCTCCACTGGCCACTGATCAGATGGCTGCTAGATGTGCTACCATTCTGTGTCTCCACCCTCTGCATGGAGACACTGAACTTTCCTCATTGATATGCGTTGATTCAATGTATCTCTGTGAGGAGATGCTGATTGGCCGGGGCTGTGTTTGGCTTGTGCTGGCTCCCACTGATCTGCCTCCTTGACAGTCTTAGCCAATCCAATGCTTTCCTATGGTATGGGCTCAGATCAACACTTCTGATGATGTCAGCCAACAATAAAAGTAATATTTTACTATATTTAGGTGGGCAAGGGGAGGCCTGGGGGGCTAGATGGTGGTTTTCACACTATAGGGTCAGGAATACGTTTGTGTTCCTGACCCTATAGTGTTCCTTTAAAGGATCACTATAGTGTCAGGAAAACAAAGCGGTTTTCCTGACACTATAGTGCCCTGAGGGTGCCCCCACCCTCAGGGTCCCCCTCCCGTGGCGCTGAAGGGGTTAAAACCCCTTCAGCAGCTTACCTTAATCGCGCGCCGGGCTACCCGTCCAACGTCAGCTGCCCCGTCCGACGTCACTGGAGCCGAATGCGCATGCGCGGCAAGTGCCGCGCGCGCATTCCAAGTGTCCATAGGAAAGTATTTCTCAATGCTTTCCAAGGACGCTCTGCGTGATGGGGACGAAATTCAACTCCAGCGTCGCAGAAGCGCCTTTATCGGCTGTCAGGAAGACTGCCACTAGAGGCTGGATTAACCCTGCGATGTAAACATAGCAGTTTCTCTGAAACTGCTATGTTTACATCTGAAGGGTTAAAACCTGAGGGACCTGGCACCCAGATCACTTTATTGAGCTGAAGTGGTCTGGGTGACTATAGTGTTCCTTTAGGTTTTGTAATTCATTTTTCATTTCACTGCAATTTGATGTTCGTGAATAAACGTTTGTAGGGTTTTTGTCAAAACATTTTAGGGTTTATTCACTAAATTCTGAATTGGAATCCAAATTGTAAAATGTATGTAGAAATAGTGGATCAAGAACATTTCTCTAACTCCATTCAATTCAATTGATTTTTTACATTGGACTATAATACACAATTCAAAGTCAAAGACTCAAAGCCCTTTCCATTGTTCTGTTATATGATGGGATTATTTACTAAAGGAGAATTGACACCTGTGTGTACTCACTAGATGTATATGGTTTTGTTAAAACCAAAATATACAGTGATAATGCATTGGGCATTGCAGACACATATAAAGATAACAGTATAAATTATTTAGTGTTTGTAGTTTTTGGCAAAACGAATTTGAATGCTATTGATTTACTGCTACAGATCGTTGAAGAACCTGTCCCTAAGGCCGGCTTTACAATCAAATTGTGCAACAAGTCTATACAAATAACGTGAAATTTCTCTTTGAACAGAATCCTCCTTCCCTGGACCATTTTCTTCAAACACTGGCTTTAAATATTTCTGATCTCTTGTTCGAGGCAAAATACTGTGTGTGCAGATGAAGAGTCTAATGATTTCTCTTTACAGACGATACACATCTGAAAATAAATACTATTTTTTTAGGATTAAATATATTCTCGTCAAGCTCATACTTGCCAACAGTTGGTATATGCATGCAAAATGTAGCTGATATAGTACTTGCAGTACATACCTTCCACTTTGCTTCCGAGTTGGCTTTCACCCTATGGAGAAACAAATTAGGCATCAGAGCATTATAGGAATTATAGATGGCTGAAACTTCACACCTATTTTATAACCAATGTGATCTGCACAGTCTGATCATTTATAAAACAGAAAAATGTAATTCCACATCAACACAACAGCATTAAATATTGTGGGCCGTATGACTATAGGGTATTTGGGACAGTACTTTAACCCTTTAAGGACACATGACATGATTCCCTTTTATTCCAGAAGTTTGGTCCTTAAGGGGTTAAAGGAATCCTTCAGTCACCTAAGGCACCGAAACTTGCTGAAGTGCTTTAGGTGCTACTTTTATTACCCTCCTTGGTAACACCTCCTAGCTGTCAACTGAACAACTGGGAGGGTTTACTTCCTCACTCGCCATCAGGGCTTGAAGAATTCTCATGGCTTTCGATGGCTTCACCAGTAGATTCTCATTAGTGGAGGCAGAGCTGCAGCAAGGAGGCCCTGGATTGGAGGTAAGTAATTGGGCTGGCAATAATCTAAGCTATAAAAGGAGCACTCCAGCTTTAGAAAGAAATGTATTAGAGTGTTTCTTTAAGTGGTCGATGAAAGCTTGTTAAATTTGACATATTTTAATGCAAAAAAAAGTAAAATGCCCCTTAATACATATGTAAAAAGACCACTTAATACAGGTACTAAACTTACATTTTTCCTTTTTTTTTTTTTAATTGGGTTGATTGGGCTTACATATGTATTCCTTTAATTTGTAAGCCAATAATGTGCTATTCAGCTTCTCACTGTGGAAGTCAGTTGGTGGAGTATATATTTTCTCTTAACATTTTCTTGCATGTTATAGCCTTGTTGCAAATGTGTCATCGTTGTTTGTTTATTTTGAAGGAGGGTGGTGTTGCAGAGAGTACCCTGCACCCTGCCTATTATAACTGCAGCAATTTGCAAAATAAGAAAATTTTCCTGACTTTTAGAAATCAGAGGACAAATGTTTACTCATTTTGCTATCAGAGATCCGTTCAATGCGTGTCAAGGTCAAAAGGTTTACAGGTCACCTTTATGGCTCAATAAACTCCAGATCCAGCACAACTTGGACTTGAGGCCCTAAAGATGGAGGGCTCGTCCCGCCAATCTGATACCTTCTGTGATATTTTGCCCTGCACACACAACTAGGATATACATCTTTCTCCTTCCATGTACACAACTCTAACACTTTACCAAACTTGTCAGCAGCTTATTGAGCAGAACCACTCGTCCAATGTAATAAGTGGGACTGCCGCTGGGGAGATAAGTTACCTGTCCTTTAGATCTTTGCTGGACCAGGGACAAAAATACTCTACAGAGCAGAATAAACGGCTCCTGATTTGTGGAGATTAGCCCTGGCTGTGGCAGAGTCTCTTTGTTGCTGACATGTGCAGCAGCTGTAGGCGAGGATTTTTTGTGTGTATTTTTGACTACATTAAAGGGAAACAGACACCTCCCCACATTGTCAATGTTATCTTAATGTATATTCCCATTTATTTAGCAAATGTGTAATGTGAAGTATGAAAAGTCAAATGAAATTTAGAAATTCATACCTCTCTCTTCTGTTAATCAATGCCAACATCCTTGCTCCCTGACCATCCATAGCTGTCAGGACAGGGAGATCATACAGAGAAGAAGAGAAATGAAACAATGTTTGTATTTCTCCTATTCGTCTGGAATGTCTGCCTTGGCTGTGCCTGGGTTGAACTGAATTGTGATGTCATTTTCTAAATCTACATCTAAATTTCTAATATATATTAAAAATACTGAGCATGATATGAAAAAACCCAAAACACCTTAAAGTGGCACCGTCACCTCCTTGAAAAAATAAGTCTTTAGAATAGATAGAATCTTTATGAAATACAAATTTTGACTGTGTTGGGATTTCACTCAAGCGCCAGGAGCTGAAGAGGACCTGATGAAGATTTCTGCACTGCGAGGGACAGGTTCAGGTAAATAAATCTTATCTGTTCCCCCTGACCACCAGACCCCCAGCTGTGATGTCTCTGTTGGGGGTTTTAAGGATTCCGAAAAAGTCCCCAGTCGGTGACAGTGCCGCTTTAACACAAGTTAGAGATGATTTTTAATGTTTAATTTACTGGTGTAATTTTAATACAAATTTTATTTAGTGGCAGTCTCATTTACTTATGTAATGCTTAAAATTGTGGAATGTGCGCCTATAATTGTGTGCCTTTAAGATCTATGGATTGTTAAGAGTTTCCTTTTTATTTTAGAAAACAGTATTTCAGCCTAGAACTATTAACGATGTATCCACTATCTGTTATATTTTGGGCAGATGATTTAGTGGTACGCATGAAAAATGGATTTGGCAGTTCAAAATATAAACCTGTTGACTATGAACAACTGCGCGAGGAGACTGAAGCCAAGAAACTAGCATCTGTTAACATACAACTAAAGGTAGGAATCTGTGCTTGCAGTCTGTCTTTGTTTTCTCAATACTTTGCTATTTTTGGAATTTTTAGTTTATTACTAGACTCTCAAATCTGGAGCCTTGAATTTTCTAAACTATATTCCTCCCTGATTTAGGAAGACTTTACATTTTGTTTAAACATTGAATATGCAGTACCACTACATTGTGATTTTTATTTTTTTATTTTTATATTTATCTTGGATAAAACCGATATTGGTAAAACGAAAGTGGAACTTTTGCAGCTGCAAAAGGCGAACAGGTGGCCAGGCCATAGGTGCTTTGAGGACCAACTTTTTTGGTCAAACTGCTCAGACAATTTGACCATGAACAGGGGGATGGAATACCTCCAAACATTTAAAATGGACAAAGAGGCACACATTAATTTTAAGGGTGTAGTTGGGGCCAGGGGCGGGGCTGTTCTGAAAATCTTTAGGTGACTTACTAATAACAGTTTATGTAACTGCAACGTAATTTAGAAAAGGAATAAGAGGAATGTGGTATGTTTTTTTGGTCCAAGGGACTTAAGCAGTAGCCCAATCTACTTGTCCTAATAAAAAAATAAATTAAATTAAAAAGATTGGGGCACATGCCAAGAACACTGGACATTGACAGGTCTATTTGCTGAACTCTGAATTTTCACAAAATAAATCTGAAAGGAGTAATGGAGGCAAAAATAGTTCATATTCCCCAACACTGCTATAGTTACAACATCACTATTTTTGCTTTGGTTTTGCCATTTGAATTTATTTAGCAAAAATTTGGATACTTGCAAATTACCCTGAGTGTTTTACCCTCTACTGTACCATAGTCTCCTCCTTTTTCATAATGTGTAGTGTTTAGTATGTAGTGTTTGCTTCCTGAATGTCATCTGTGCTTGTTGTGTTATGTATGTGTGGTGAGTCCATGCTGTGTGCCAAGGCAGCCACTACTTAGAAATGCATATTCCAGGTGTGCCCCCAATTTAATCTTTCTTTACAACGTGTTGGCCGCCTGGATATGATGTCATGCTGAATTTCAGAGGCCATGAGCTCTGAGCATTGTGAGGAGAGGTTGGACGCTGCCACTCTTCACACAGCCTTGTGAGCTGCAGCTGGCCCAAGTTATGGTGTCCCGGTATGCCTGCCGGAGATAAACTCTTCCTGTCTGGTGCCTGAAACTGCATGTCTCGATATAGAGGCGATATAAACTCCACACCCCTGAACAATGTATCTTATTTGAAAAGACTGATTTCTAAACACATTTAATGTATTTTAAAGACACATATTTGGGAGTATTATTGATGGGGAACTCTGTTATACACTCACACACAAACAATATGAAGCTCCCAGGAAAGAGGGACACATGGATTTGTCCCTACTAAAATGGACCACTTGGGAGCTATGGAATAGCGCCAGCAGCCTACAGTTTTATAACCACTGCAACGACATATAATGCTTATGGTATTTGGACTGCCCTTTTATTCACATGAGTTTAATTTGAATTTGTTGGGAGGAGAGGTATTAAACAAATTGGATTGACCCCATCTCCCTGGAACGTTGCATTATCTCTGACCTCACGGACACGTCCCTGGTCACTGCTATAACATCTCTGGGTGCTCCACTTGGTGCTGCAGCCAATTTCCGCACTCTGAACGTCGAGGTGATCAGTGAAGAGTCTGAGCTGCTTTTCATGCCCATGTAGTGGACCCACATTTGGAGCCTCGTATTCTCGACCGTCTCGGGATGTCTCTGAGACACAGGTTTTGTCGCCTGTGGTGGACCTACAGCGTGGTCACCACTCTGCTCAATTGCTGCACCTGAGAGGTAAGTGCTATCAGTTTATTGTAGGTGGCTTGAGACTTCTCTGGAGGCCTCTCTTCCAGCTCTCGGAATTTCTCGTGGACCACTCCTACTTCAGTGTGGACCACCCCAAGGTCCTCCTTCCATACCTCCCGGAGGTCCACCAGGAGACGCTTTATGTCCCCTTGTCTTGAGGGCGACTCATCCTCCCTTGACCCTAACAGGAGGGAAACTTCATAGGATCTAGGTGAGGGCATGGCCTCCCCATCCTACTGTGAGGCCTCTGACGCCTCTGTCGCCATCGTTGACGGCTGGTGTAGCGCCGGTCTCTCAAAAGGCTAGGCATCTCTAAGCGAAAGGGCTTCTTGTGTTTGCGTCCCATTGTCTCTGCTTGAGGGGTGTCTCAGTTTCTGGCTGGGAATTGTTTGATTTCGTGGCTTGATTCTCTGTTTTCACTAGGCCTTTGCGGAGCCCCATGGAAAGACGTGTGTTCAGTATGGTTGTCAGCCACACCCCAACAAACTCCATTTTTATGCTCTCTGCATGTCTGACAAATAATGATTTAACTGCCAAAGGCTTGCCTATGAAACTCTGTCTCACAAAGGGCTGATTGCTTTAGACTAGTGCAGTGTCATTTTATGTGTCTAAGGATCACATAAAGTTTCCCCTGGAAACATAACTAAAGGGAAACTTTTTAAACTTTTCAGTATGAACATTTTCATATAAATTTAAAAATAGACATTTATCCAGGGCTCAGCATTCTAAAAATAAAAGTACAAAACAATTTGAGGGTGTTGTTCTTTAGGGTCCTGAATCTGCATGTCTTTCATGAGCTTTTAATTCAGCTGTCTCTTAGCCAAAACATCCGCACTAACCACTAGACATAAGATCTTGGATGGGAAATGATGATCCTGAATATATGCTTTGCCCATGAAACAGTGGTATTTATTTGAAGGGAAGATTATGCCTAGAATTTTAACTGGCATTGTCACGAATATGAGTATCTGAAACTGGACTTAATATAGATTGATGTTTGCTGTCCGTTCAGTCTCTGCATATATCTTATCTCTTATTGTATTTTGTAATCTGTAAGGAATATGAAGAGCTGGTTCAAAGGGTACCAATATTTGCACCAATGGTTAGCTACACATCTTGCATTTTCAGTGTCATATTAGATCACATCACTTTTTTTTCTCTCGCTATTATGATATTTTTAAATATATTGTATCATATTTTTTTTTTGATGTTTGCTTATAATTCTTTTACCAACCTACGTACAACTATGGGTGGCAGTGATAGGCTAAGAGCATCAGCTGAGCACTCTCAGCCTATCACCGCTACCCATTGCAGATATAAATTGGGATGGCCAGCTTAGAGATACACACTGCATTAGCCATACCCTCCAGCAGTGGAACACAGTTACAGGTGGACAGGGTTCCTCATTAAGCCTAGCACTGATTGAAAATTATTTAACATTGAACTACGAAACACCAACCATGAAACACCAACCATTTATATTAAGTGGTTATGGTACATGCAATGTCCCTTTAAATACAATAATCATCAGACGTAACTGCAGCATATAGCGTTACCATTGTGCTCAGGTGTACATCCTTAATGTCTGCATGATTCTCTCATCCCTCTTGCACATCTTACAAACACAACAGTCACTTTGTAACTTGTTGTATTCCTCTTATTTTTAGCCTGAACACGGTATATGAACAAAAGTACCTGTCAGCACTGCAAGTTGATCAGCTTTCTTGTGTTTTTTTATTCATTGTGCTTGCCAGAAGCGACCCAGTGTCTAATTACTTCGCTGATTGTGTTGTCTTTTCTCATGCTGGAGGATAAACACACACTCTGTGCATTCAAAACCTGTGGCCTCTCTGACAGTTAATGGCACACAAAGGCTTATTATGATAGAATAAAGCAGTCTGTTGGTTCTAACATAACCCTACAGGCTCCCTCCATCTGATATTATTACATTTTTACATCATGCCAAATATATGTAACGTTAGGCAGTCATAAGAAATGCCATTGTGTAGTCTTAAAAAAAAAAGCCAAAGCTAAGCTATAAGATTGGTCATTTACAGCTTGAATAAATATTTCACAGCTTAGACTTTTATTGGGTTTTAAATGGCACTTATTCAAAGACAATATGTTTCGTTTAGACAACTGAAGCAATGATTTGTGGTTAATCGCATTCTTAATCATATTAATTTGCTTCGACACTCTGAAAAGACAAAGAGAAAATCTAGAATAGATCAGGAAAAAGATAAAGCCCATAAAAAAAAGATAATAGATACAGTTATTGGCTAATACATCATCTAGTTACAGGTAGGAAGCCGTTTTGGCTCAAAACCTGCGAGATTTGTTGAGGTACGGATTCAGCAAGGTGCTGGGAATATTACAAAGGAATTTTGTCTCCATAACATTGCACAGATCTTGTATGTTTTTCAGAAGCAAATTTATGCCATGAAATTCTCATTCCAGCTCACCCTAAAGATGCTCATTTGGAGGATATACCTGTTATTTTCACTGATCCATCTTGAGATGATGAGTGGTGGTTTGTGATACTTTATTCAGCTGGAATCATTGGTTTAAAAATGTAAGGAATGTAGACAAGAGGCTATAACCACTAGGAAGCCATACTCCCAATATCCATGGTTAGGTATGTTCTGATATTCACATAATGATCATTTGGTTGTACAGAACCTCTTGTGTGGCACTACATCACCAATCTATATCATGCCAGCAGAGTCCCTCTTCTTGTCAAACACTTAAAAAATGATTTGGTAAAAATTGGAGAGAATGTGCTCACTGGCTCCATTCACCATAACCGTAAGCGGTAGTGAATAAGATCCGCAGATTATCTCTTTAAGCATATTGTGATGCTGGGTAATAAATGCGCATATGGTCAGCCTCCAAACCATCACATAACGCTAAGGCACACATATTTGATGTTAAAGGGTTACTCGGTGATTTGAAATGGTCATGGTGCTTGGAGTATGGATGTACTGAGTTTCAGTTTGAAATCTTGCACATAGAGATGTTATTATGATTATTTTTATATAGCACCAACAAATTCCGTAGTGCTTTACAATGGGTGGACTAATAAACATGTAATTGTAACAAGACAAGTTTGACGCACAGGAAAAGAAGGTTTGAGGGCCCTGCTCAATGAGCTTACGTTCCAGAGGGAGTGGGGTAAAGTGACACAAAAGGTAAGGATAGTATTAGGAAAGTAGATTGGTAGAATTGTATTCACTGAAGACTTAATGCTGTTTTTTGTTTGTTTGTTTTTTTTAAATACAGTTGCAGGAGAGGAATCAGTTGGGAGCCATTAACAGTTTAATTGATACGCTTTTGTGAAAAAGTGAGTTTTTAATGATTTTTTGAAGGAGTGGAGATTGGGTGAGCATCTAACGGAAAAGAGAAGGGAGTTCCACAGGAACGTTGCAACCCTAGAGAAGTCTTGAAAGCGAGCATCAGAAGTGGGAGTACGGACAGAGGATAGATGTAGGTCTTCGGCAGAGCGTAGGGGCCTCGATGGGACATACTTATGTATTAGGGAAGATAGATAGGTGGGAGCAGCATTATGTAGAGATTTAAACACAAGAACCAGAATTTAAAATTGAGCCCTATATCTTACCGGAAGCCAATGCAGGGACTGACAGAGGGGTGAAGCCAATGCAGGGACTGACAGAGGGGTTCCTGTGGGCAGACAGGAAGATTGCTGCTGGCGATGTGACTGTATCTCCTGCAGCATCATTAACCAGCCCATAAAAAGAGTTCCAGGCTGGTTAATGTTAATACTGGGCATCTGTTGTCCAAACACATAGCATTATGGCAACAGGCTGTCAATGGCGACCCATGTAGATGATTGGAGGAAAAAATGTTCATTGGTTCATCATTTCATTATTCAGCATGTCTATTTCTCTGTTAAGAGCGCGATTTAAATTAGTAAAGAGAAGGAGACTGACTGTAAACTGCGATGTTTTTTCCATGCTCCTTGGGAGAAAAATATTTGAAGGTGTTTGTTGTTTCATGTCAGCACTGTCAAATCTCTCTTTTATTCTGGAGCCCACAAAATTGGTTATATATAGTTACTTTCCTATGTGTAAGACTGTAATATTTACTCTATATTTACTCTTTCAGTTCTACCATCTGCTTTTAGCCGGATAAAGTCAAAATGAGATCGGTAGATCGATAGATTAGATTAGATAATGCAGTATGTGTTGATAGTGAAGGCTTACCATACACCTGGCATAACTATTATATTAACAATTATTATTATTAAGCTACAAAAAGCCATAAAGGAACACTATAGGGTCAGGAATACAAATGGTATCCCTGACCCTATAGTGTTAAAAACACTATTTGGCTGTACTGCCCCCCTTAAATAAGTAAAAAATCTACCTTTATTCCAGCGGGCAGGTGTCTGCCAAAGCTGGCTCTGCCCGCGTTACGCCTCTTTGGCTGAGATCATCAGAATTGATGATCTCAGCCAATCAAATGCTTTCCCATAGAAAAGCATTGGGAAGCTATTGCACATGCAGTGTTTACAGCAAAATGCCTGCAGGGACTGACAATACTCACCAGAACAACTACATTAAGCTGTACTTGTTCAAGTGACTATAGTGTCCCTTTAAATTTACCTGTAGTCTAGTGTTAAGACAATCTTCTCTTTGCATTCACTCACGTTGAGATCATGGTCTGAACAGATCCTTCTCAACAGAAGCATTGCAGACCTATGGTACATATGCAGCAAACAACAAAGAATGACAAAGAATCACTGAATCCAATGTTTCTTTATAATAAGCATTAGTGGCAAGTGCCTTTGATTGCTTTACATAATGAGGCTGAACATGAAGACATGAATTGAATTTCCTAACGATGAAATGTCTGTCTATCTGTCTGACAGCCTCCAGAGATGCGTTTTAGGCAGAATGTAAAAATTGCCATTTCTCAATCTATGCAATGATGTAAAGTAGTTATGGTGGATAGAGTGACCCTTTAATTTGGCAAAATTACAGGGATTAATAAAGTCAGTTGTCTCGGTGCATGTACGTCTGATAATGGAGAGTGCTTTTTAACTTTCTGTCATACACAATAATTTCATTACTGTATTAGGGTGGGTCTGTCTGTTCTGTTAACTTTATATTTTATCAGTAAAGAATACTTTATGATAAAGTGAAATAACTGGCATATAATCCCCTTGAACTTTACCTTTTCGGAAACTGAAGGCTGATTTTTCACCTGGCATTCGATCATTTAAAATGAATCTGACATGGTGAAATTAGGAATTGAGATGAAAGAATTTTTGTTCTGTTCCCAGAGAGACATCAGAGGATTTCTGTAGGAATATATTACCGTATATTCTGCCTGTTAATAAGGCCCACAAAATGTTTAATGAATCATGTGGTATAATATTAAGGCATGTTCTGTATTAAATATAATACTTTATTAAAATACGGGTGAAAATTTTAATAATAAGGTGCAAGAAGTCAGTTATTCTTGCATTTTCAAAAGTTACTAAGATTAGTTCCTTCCTCTTTTAAATTACCAATGACTACTTTATATGAGACTTTTGTAGTGGGGACATTTACATTTTATTTTGTTGGAGATTTCCAAATGATTCAATACTTTCACTTACAAAACTTTCAAAATAATTTATGAACAAAAAAATCTCATAGACTTTAATAATAATAAATAATTTGGAATGTTTTTCCAACAGTACTAAATAATTTGGAAAGCTTATTAAATCGATGCCTCTATCAATTTTTCTCAACCACTGAGTTGGACCCAACTGAAGCAGGTCTTCCCTAACTGAAATATATATTTTGTTGCCGTCCAGTCCTCAAGCAACTACTCACAGAAAATTGTTTGTAGCAATAGACCTACCTTTCCAGTGCCATCGGGAAGAGTTTAAAGGGTCACTCCAGACCCCTAAGGCACTTTAGCTTGCTGAAAAGCTTTATGTGTGAAGAGTGTGTCCTCTTTTTTTCATTTTGCAAAAAGTGCAGATTTCAATAGAAATTGAATCTTTTATAAATTAAACTGGTTACACCCCCTTGTCTTTCAAGCAGACAACAGATAATGTTACTTCCTGGTTTTGTTAGCTCAATGCAGCTGACACCAAGAGGCAGCAATTGCCCACAGCACCTGACTTACAAAGACTTCTCATTGAGCTGCATTGGGAAGTCTGTGATTGGACAACCACAGAAAGTCTGGGCTGGGTTAGCTTGCAAAGGCAGCAGACAAGAGAACTGCAGGTTTTGTAAGCTAATTTTAGATATATCCCCAATGAAAAAATACAAGATTTAAATTTTCATTTAGGGTAAGTCTACTAAACAGTGATTTTTCTTTATCTCTTTGTTAGGGCAGTGGAGTGTCCCTTTAAATGGACACTGTAGCTACTGTAACTGCTATATCTCATTATTGTGTCTGGAGTCCCATGGCGTCATCATTCTATTTAAAGTTAAACTGTTTGTAATGTGTTTTTGTTTGTTTACTTATTCAAATTTTGTTCAAGTGCATACACAGTACAAACATTGCAAAGATTACAATAAAAGATGGGACTAAATATCCATAAAACGAGTGGTATACAGTAAAGTGGTATAGACAAACAGAATTGTACATGCGTGTTAAAGGATTACAGCTGCGCACTGTTTATGGTTTGCATTGATATCTGTTTCAATTTACAAACAATAAACAAGAACAGGTGGGGATCAGGCAATGAGGGGTGCCTATAATGTTTTAATGCTAAACTAGAGTCCCATCCCTTATGCATCCTCTCTTCTGTACTGCTTGAGCGAGAAGCACTAGCCTGAGCAGGAACATGCGGCTGTGATTGGCTGAGAATATCAGCTCACTGCTTTTACTCTATTGTAGCACCCATTGCGGATATGAATCGGTATGGCTACAATGAAGTGTGTGATCACTGCCTTAGCCATACCTTCATTTGGGACCTGACTGTGGGTGGTCGTAATCCTTGCTTAGAGTTAAACTGCCTGAAAATGGTTTAACACTAATTGGAGGGACAATGACCGAGGACTCCAGGCACTAGTACATATTCAATTAGATGAAGTGATTAAAGTGGTTGTAGTATTCCTTTAATGATAAAGTTTTAATTGAGTATTTGTTTTATTAAAGTTTCAGAATGTGTTGCCAGTTTAACTTTACAATTGAACAATGGGTTATCAAGATTGTCATGTACTGTATGTTATTCGGATCTCTGTAAAAATAATGTAACCACTTAAGACCCAGTGATGGTCTATATAGTCACAACAATCTAAGGCCTCAATTTAATAATCTTTTTAAATGATTCAGTATGGTTTGAAAAGTTTCCAAGTTATTTATCTGTAGAAAACACCATTAGAGTCCATAGGAATATTTGTAGATAAATCATTTGCAAGTTTTTATAACTGGATTGAATCATTTAGAAAGCTCATTAAATCAAGGCTTTCATTTTTTAAGGCTCCTAATCAAAGATGGGGTCCTTTTAACCCCTTAAGGACCAAACTTCTGGAATAAAAGGGAATCATGACATGTCACACATGTCATGTGTCCTTAAGGGGTTAAATACTTTTTGTTCTATAAATCATCCAAAGCTTAGTAAGTGATACATTGCATTTTGACATGTACAGGGACAAGTTTTATGGAACAAGATTGTGATGACAGCATAGCGACGTAGCAATTAATCCTCAAAGTGTTGAAAACTATTGATGGATTGAAGTCCAGAATTGGTAGCTGTTGGAAGAAATATCTCATCACTGATGATTTTAATTCCACCTGGACTCAGTGACTGATGTCAACAGTGTAGGTTGGTATGGGGAGCACTCAAGAATTAATAGTTTCCGGCAGAATTTATATAAATCCAGCGGGAGCCACTACCAAGCTAGCTGCCAGGCTTCCATAACTTCAGCAGTTATTTGCTCTCCATTTTATTAGGACCTTAATAACAACAAGGGCATCTGCCACCCACACTCTTAAAAGTCCAAGATCATAGAATGAATGTATTGGGTTTCTGCATCCATCAGTGTATACTGAATAGATTGCTACTAATTCATATCATATGCTCTGCTATAACAAACCATGTACCCCTATCGACTTCTTCTGGTGGTTAAGTGGGTAAGCTGAGGTCCCCTTAGGTGGACCAGCTAATTTTATTACTCCTTTTCATCACACACAATGAGCCACATCCAGCTGACATATGATGTCATATCCTCATACCTCTTTGTAGTACAGCCCATTGTACTGTGGGCCCTGCTTTGTGCATCCCTGGGTAAGGGGCTTTAAGGAGATTCAAATAATTTGACAATGCTGGGGGTGCTCTGCTTTTTAGTTTTTAATCTCAGAGTTGGCTTAAGCAATTCAAAGTACAATCGAGGTGAATACCCACTTAAAATACCAAGTACCTGTCACTTCCTTAATCAGCTGTGTGCAGATGTGGCGGGATGTTCCAAGTCCTGTTGATAGGACAAAAATGTCTCTCACTGTCATGTTTAACAACCACCACGATTAACAAAAGAGACAGAGATTAGGTTACGCTTGGGACAGGAAACTGGACATTCATTGATTTAAAATATATATATTTTTTAATCATTTAGTCTTGTCAGACTTTGCCATGCACCAAGTGTGTGAAACCTGCACATCTCAATACACATTTCCCTCTTTGCTAGATCATTTTGTGGCATGTGTAGTAAATTTAAATCTGTTGTAGAATTACAATGATGATTTGCCAGCTTGAATGTGTACTTCTACAACAGCTGGGAATATGTCATTTGGTCATCTTTGGTATAAAACCTCGGAGCTCTAGATCCAGAACAATAAGTCCAAGTTTACTATGCATGGATAAGTATTTGCTTCCAATGCCATGTAGAGATAGTTTAGACTTTAGAATTCTCGAGCTATCTGCAGTGTACTTTCAATCACAAAATCCACATTTGCAGCAAAGGAACTGGATTTCTGATTCATCAAATAAAACCGTTAAAACGCGCAGCCCAAAATTATGCAGCAAGGGCAATACTCTGTCTATGAAATTGTGTGGGGCACATGGGACCTACATATAGTGATGTCCTCAAGTCATCCATTTCTGACGGAGGAGAACAAAAGTACTTTCAGAGGTCTTTCTCAGACCTCTCAGATTTTCTATCAATCTCCTTTGCAGCAGAAACCCTTTCCCCTCCCCTCCACTATTTAATTTTTTTTTATTGTTTTGCACCTTTTGCTACATACAAATAGCTCATTTTCTTTTATAATTGTAAAAACCAGTCAAGTTGCAAGTTGCGCTTGTTCATCATATGCTGTACAACTGACTCTTTCACTTGATTGCAAATTAAAGACATAACAAAAAATGCATACATTCTTCATTCTGTCAAACAACTCTGTGGAACAAAGGAGTGGTCAAGGTGAAAGTTAAAAAAAGAGAAATTCACAAAACATCTTCTGCATTGGGCTTTAATGTCGTTTGTCATAGGCTGGTGTGGGATATGCTCACTTGGTCACTGCAGTGCTTTGATTACAATTATGATCTATGCACAATAGTTGACGCTGACTTTACTATGTTTAAAGGTAGACATCGTTTGATTATTGCAATCTATCCTGAAGGTATCCACAGCGCTGTGAAATTTATAATAATAACGGCAGCAATGATGTGTAGCGTAAGAAAGGGTTAATTATTACCGACTTGTCCCTAAACCAGATGTCAGACACAATATTGCAGAAACCTGATCAAATGATAATCAAATGAACAATATCAAACGTTTAAAAATACGCAATAGAAATTCTCTGTAGAATAATCACCTAGCAATACTCCCGCATAAAGTTTTATAAATACATGTTTACAGATACTGTTCATGGATAGTTTAATTTAATAAATACAAATTGTTCTTGATTTCTCGTAGAGATTAGTGTGTTACAAAGAACTCCTATGTACTATAGCATTTCTTAGTTATGGACTGTAGAAGCTCTTTCCGTCTACTTTAAGTGAGAATTCATCTTTTTCTGATGATAACTTGCCAAGACCATTATGTACATTAGCCATTGGTCATCAAGGGGTTAATATGAAAATAAAGGTATTAGGTTTGTCCAGTAGTTTTTAATAACTAGACAAGCATTTATTTTATTTTTTATTTTATTTTTTTTTAAATTCTTTATTTATCAATCATGCATGGTGTTTGTACATAAAAGAAAAAAGGGGCGTCATATGCATACATTTGTCAGTACAATGGAGTGTAACGTAAAGTACAGACGAGGGTGTTGAATAGGAGCATCGTATACAGTGTTCTTCGTCCTTTTTCACCAGGTTTTTTAGGTGCAGAATGTAGTAAAGCTAGTCAATGACAATGTTCACAGGGGCATAGCAAGCGGTGACAATGTTTGCATTTCATAGAGCCATACAGGTTCAACGTATAATAAGGTATGTTACTGTCATTATTGTTTATTTTATTTTTTAGATAAAAAGATATCTCTTGGTAGCAGAAGAGGCTCAAGTCTTGTTAGACGCCCACTTGGACTTTTTACTAATTCTCTTCGCTTCCTTTTATTGTCCATGAATTTTGGTTAATACTGCAATTTGATATTAATTTGGTTTTATGACTTTTTTTCAATTATGGAAAACCTCAATAAATACTTTCATTACAAAAAATAAATAAATTGCAGCTTGGTAGAAGTATTGAATTCAGTTTTCTCCATTAGTGTTTTTTTTATATTACATTTAGGCTTTTAAGGCCTGTCAGGACATATCACTGACACTCACTGCAACTTCCCATTCAAAAAAAAGCCATCATTAAAGGAACGGGCTCAGCTGTAGAGTGATGACATGATGGTGGCAGCTGCAGATTCCAGTGGGAAACATCAGTGTCCACTTTGTTTTAAGAAATAACGTTCAACATAATGTGATCCACTTTGAAAGAAAATATATTTTTGGAGCATCATTGTCCTTGTGTTAAAAGAACAGGACTTTTTTTTTTTTTTTTACATTTTTTCAGGTAATAGTAAACCTGGATGTTGTACTGAGGCCTTGGGACCTACATCATTTTATTTTAATATGTGCAGGAAATTTGCATTGTATAGCAGACATAGAGCTGCAAGTTGCTTTTTTTAAATTTTTTTTATTTGTGCATTTTCTGGTCAGTAGCCAAGATTTAATTCATAAGGATTTATCTTTGAGTTCTTATATTTGGAAAACTCCAGGTCTACAACTGATTTGTAAAATCTTAGCATGATAGTCGATTTGGTTGATATAAGGCATTGTGGGGTAATATGAAATTTAAATGGAAATTGGAAAACAACCGTAAATGTGCAAATTCACTTTCTGGTCAGTCCAAAGCTCCCTGTAATTTGAGGGGCAGATCTGGGGATTTTAGTTGTCTGGTAAGATTTCCATCATTATATGCTTTGAGATGAGAGAATTATTTAATGAATGCGTGACTCCAGCAAACGAGGAACAAGCCACCAAGTTAAATAATTGCTGTGGTCCCAAAGACCTCTTGAATAGTATAGAGAGATTGTATGTTCCTTTTATCCCCTGTGCCATAAGTGTTACATTAGTAGTGACAGTAATGATCTCTAGAATAGAACCACTGGCCCCTTCCCCATGTAGATTGAAGATGGTTGTAAAATGGGCCTCAAAAGACATGCCTTGGTGCCAACACTTTCTCTCCAGGCAAATGTCCTGCTCTGTGGGATATGTGACAATAAAATATAATAATTTTCTTTTATAACCTTTCTCTATGTAAAATGGCTTTTACAATAGAATAGAAAAGGACATTTAAAATACAACACATTGCATGCAGGGAGAAAAAGATCAATGGTTGAAAAAGGAAGCAGGTAAAAGGAGCAGTGCCATGTCATGGAAGGTGACAGAAGAAGAGAGATACAGAATAATAATAATAGGTAGAATGGGAAGAGGTACACATTCCGATCCATGTAGGGGAACTAAATATCTCAGAGAGACATGAAAGGGGTGCAGAAGAAGATAGACACTGCCATGTCGTGCAATGGTGCGTGATATTCTACAAGACCATGTGAGGAAACATAGAAGAGACCCATCCTTGAACCATTTCAATCAAAACGTGATGGGTATCTCATTGAATTGCAAAGCAGTAGAACTCCTATTTTTAACATGATTAAAGCCGAAGAGCCATGAGCCAGGCCATATGTGAGTTCAATAAAGGTTTTCTACCACTTTGTATATTCAGTGTGATGCTCATCTCTTTTTATTGAAATTACACTAGGGGCAGGAAGGTGGCCCAGCATGAGGCAGAGCTTCACAATTGGTGGGTGATTGAGCATTACTGTTGATGATTGACATCCCTGAGCCATTTGAGGGTATGTGACCTTCCACCAATTTATGTAGGTTTTCAGTAGAAGAGGCAATGGTTATCCATACAAAGGAGCAAGACTTTCATAGCACCATGCAAAGAAAGGGATAGAAAGTCTAGCCTGAGTCAGCTTAGACCATAGCCCAGAGGTTAACTAGTAAACAATGAATGTATTCGTAGTTTGGTTATAATACAAACTATTCAAAGAAAAATTGTGCACATTTTGTGTTAATGGGACACTCCAGGGTGGATTGATAATAATTTTTTAATGCATTTATAGAGAGAAAATTAAAAAATCTAAATACATTTGCCTGCAGTGTCCTTTTAATCAGAATTGAAAGAAAGCTATTATCGGCTTCCCCATGAATGTACATATATAGCTGTTAGCGTTCAACAAAAACCTACATTGCAAAGGTTTTGTAAATGGTGGGAACTCAAAGTGATATTTATGGTTGAAAGTGATTGTGCTTAAGGTATTAACATCTGTTTGTAGATATAAAATATGTTTCATGTAAAACCAAACAAGAATAAAACAGGACCGAAGAGAGGTAACTTAATATACTGCTGGAGTGTAGCATCCCAGTGGGCTTCATTTAGTTGATGGGCTTGTTGGCAGATATTCTCACAGAATACATGTAAAGGTTAGATCGCTTCAGATGAATTGCATCGCATTTACCTTTGTCAGGTGTGATGGGAGCAATTATTTCTCTGTTTGGTGAAATGATAGACAACGTCTAGAAGATCGGTACAAAGACGACAGCATCTGAATTAACTATATAACAATCTGATTGGGGTTTGCTCAACAGAACATGACAATACCATTCCATGTAAAGATCTTACTAGCCCAACTATGTTCACAAGTGTCGCATTATCAGAGGCACGTGGAAAAAGATTTTTCCGTTGAGCTCTGTGCTTGTATAGCCACCAGATTGTTTGTGTTGTTTCTTTGTGATTAAATTTTGTTCCCCCTATTGGCTCTGCATACTAACCATTTAAAACTGTGTATTCTTATATATGTACACTTGTCTTTGTATATTCTAATTTTGACACATGTCAACTCAACCAAAGAAGTGATGCAAGTGCAATGTTACTTTTTTCCCTCAGCATCGTCCAGCATGCAGGGGTAATATGCATACTGTTTAATATTTAATTTTTATATCTGAAGTGGCAGTCCATCTTTAAAATGTTAGAACTTTCTCATGGGGGTATAAACCACAGAATTGTAGCTGCATTGGTACATATGCATCTGTGCATTCACAACATTTTATATGATGTTTGTCAGCACTGCTGGTGCGTACATGTGCACACTCAACCTATACCAGAGGCATTCATCCAAACGTTGGGTACTTAGGATATTTGATGTTTAAATGTGATAACAATATCACAAGTACAATATATTGATTACCTGAAACAGACATTGTCAGGCACACATTTATTTTATAAAAGTTTAATGGGACGCATTATGCCATTGTTTCACAGTAAGCTGTCCAACCATTTTACAAGCAGTCAAACCATTTTTCCAATAGTTTGACATTTACCCGAGTCTCCAGGTCTAGCCCTTTTTGCCTGATATATCTAAAGAGGAAGCTCCCCTGCCACAATAGATGTATTCATTTTGTCCATATTTGGATTAAATCTATGCTCTCGGACAATGAATTCTTGCCAAGTATGGGTAGAATTCATGTCACTAAATTGGAACTTCCGTTAATAGCAATATCAGCAGAGCAGGCCAAACTAGAGCTAACTAGGGGAAGCAGGTACGTATCAAAGTATTTGAAAACACATTGGCTCTTACCCAGGGCAAGGCACCAGGGGACTCAGTAACCACTACAATGTATTGGGGCGGTTATGATGCCTAGACTATCTCTTTAAGGAATATCTACAATTCACAAATGCTTTGAGAAGAATGTTTGTTTCTAAATATACCTGTCAGGTGTAACTGTGTACAGGTGCATTGAGACAATGCATCATTAATTCATTACCCCCTACGGCATGTTTATGTCTACAGTCCCACGCTGTGTGGTTTCCGTATGTGGGATTTTTATCATGTTAGACAAGAAAGTTCGTATCATACTCTACATATCGGTTTATCACCTTACATCAGTGAATGCATGAAGCGAGATCATGTTACATATGGTGTAATAGACAGGGCTAGACAACACATACCTTTTTATCTGTTATTGAGCTACAATGCTAATGCTGGTTTATTCACTCATCCAGACATTTTACACAATTTATACGTTTTAAACATGAATAGTCCTAAGATTATTTACCCCTTTGGGTTGCTTTTCCCTTTTCTCTCCTATGTATAACCTTGAATAATGTTTACACTATGTCTGTGGTTCACTGATATTTTACTGTATAATAGCTCATTCAAGGCACCTCACTGCACATTGTCATTCACCATTATACTGCGTTATACTTTAATAACATTTTATAACATTTTGAACATGATTTATACATTCACATTTTTGTATTTGCACATTTAACCCCTTAAGGACACATGACATGTGTGACATGTCATGATTCCCTTTTATTCCAGAAGTTTGGTCCTTAAGGGGTTAATGTGCTTACATTTTGCACTTACCATGTCTCTGTATTCAGTGTACTGTGTGTATGCACTCTGTGCAGGCCCAGACTGGCCATCGGGCATAACGGGCATATGCCCGCTGGGCGGCGATGGCCAAGGCCGGCAGGGGAGATCACATGATCTCCCCTGTCAGCCCATGCAGAGCCGGCGCTATCTGAGCACCGGCCCTGCTGTGTGCCTTCATGGGCTGGTGAGGAGATCAAAGATCTCCCTCACTGGCCCACAGGCACTGATATGCGGCTGGAAGGAGGCAGGAGAGGACCCGGGGAGCTCTAGCCAGCTGCTCCACTGGGTTACACTCCGGCTGCACCCTCAGACACACACAGCACCCTCCGACACACACATTACACATGCACAGCACACTCTCACACATATACAACACACACACACATATATATATATATTAACCCTCAATGAGTTAACAGACAAAGACAATTATAAACATAGAATGTGACGGCAGATAAGAACACCCTTACACACACAGCACCCTTCACACATACACACAGCACACCCAACACACTGCGCCCCTCACACATACAATACGTCCAAACATATAAAATATACACTCTGAATCCTCTACACACACACACAATCTCCGATACACACTCTGGGTCCTTTACACACTAGATATCCTACAATAGAGAAAATGCTACCTGACTTCCAGGGTTACAGTTTCACTTTTATAATTCCGGGGGAAATCGATAATTTCTAGAAATCATGTTTGCTTTGATCACCCTCAAGAGTTTACAATCGAAGCAATTTACAGTTACCAAATACACTGCTGCTAAGTAAATCACAATTTATAGCAGTCACTAGGTAACCTTAACTAGGTAATCCTCTCTCAGGATTATGTCCTAAAATGTTAAGTTATTTTCAAATTTAAGATCAGAGTAGTTGAATTGAATGCATAGCTGATTTAGAGAATTTCCCAATTTTCCCAATCTGACTTTAAATGTGAAATTTACTGTGAATTCTCATTTTAGTAACTAGCCCTGTCTGTATCCAGTGGTGTGCAAAGCTAACAATCCTGAGCAGAAAGTGCTAAAGTGAAAAAAATAGAAACAAATAATTCAGACTTTTTTTTTAATGCGTTTAACACTTGTAATTTGCTAACCAAATAGCAAAAGCAAATTGTTAGAAAATGTCATAATATTGCAAACATTTAAAAAAAATTAACAATTGGATTTTCTCACGTTAAAAATACTCTGCAATGTGTATTTTAACATGTTATTTTGTGCACGCGATATGTACCGTGTGCATTTGTATTCACTTTTTTTTACATTATATAGATATAATGAACACATGTATAGAACTTTAGGTATACTGGCGATATTCTCACTAATGTTTTTCTATACGCATTTCATATTTAAAATTTTGACTGGTAAGTACATGCCCCTTATATGTAGTCTGTTTTACAAACTACTATGTTGTCCTAAACTGGGCATTTCCTTTGTTTATTGTCTTCAGTTCCCAATTTAGTGGATGAGCCCCAACAGTATACCTCTAGTTACAAATGACCAATTTGGATAGCAACGTTCCTCTCTTTTTCATGGCCACTTCCATCTTATATGTTGCAGAGACCAACAAACCAACAGCATTACCTCTTATACTGTTTGCAGTGCCCATCATCCATAATTGCAGCAACAACTTTAACCAGACCTGGAGATGTGATTGAAGACTATTGTCCAATTAACCAATTCTTTCTGTATAGTAGCCCTGACTGTTTGAGCTACTCTATACAAGGACAATGGCCCATTTCATGTTAAACAGAGTTTAGTCTATTCAGAACGGTACTTTAGATTACAGCTGTTACGGTACGGAGAGAGTGTGGGAGGGATAATGGCATTGTCTGAGGGATGTAATGGCCGGGATCATTAGACTGGTATGAAAAAGAGAAGACTTACTCTGTCAGGTTGGAGACCGAGTTAAAAGGACAATTACATGTGGTTTGCGGGGATTATTATAATAATTACAACGCACCAGTTACCAGTATAATGAAATTGCTGCGTGGCCTTCACCGATCATTTGTTGTTAAATGCAGGGGGACAAGTTTCACTTTCAAAATATATTATCGAATATGATGAACTATGTTAGTGCTATAATCAGTATTCCCCATCAGATTACACATTTCCATAAATATTGGAACTATATATTTTCCACTGATAGCCATATTTGTCATCCCTGTTCATGATTTCATGAAATATTAGCACTTCTTGGTTTTCTTATATTCCAGAGGAAAAGCGAAATATTCTTTATGGCTGCTGCTTACTGGTAGACAATGCACTTATAGTCACATCTAGAGATACTGTCTCTCTCATAGTAACATCTAGAGATACTGAGCAATGTCCCTCTCACAGTGACATCTACAGACATTGAGCACTGTCCCTCTCATGGTGATATCTACAGACACTGAGCACTGTCCCTCTCATAGTGACATCTAGAGATACTGAACACTGTCCCTCTCATAGTGACATCTACAGACACTGAGCACTGTCCCTCTCATAGTGACATCTAGAGACACTGAGCACTGTCCCTCTCATAGTGACATCTAGAGATACTGAACACTGTCCCTCTCATAGTGACATCTACAGACACTGAGCACTGTCCCTCTCATAGTGACATCTAGAGACACTGAGCACTGTCCCTCTCATAGTGACATCTAGAGATACTGAGCACTGTCCCTCTCATAGTGACATCTACAGACACTGAGCACTGTCCCTCTCATAGTGACATCTACAGACACTGAGCACTGTCCCTCTCATAGTAACATCTAGAGATACTGAGAAATGTCCCTCTCACAGTGTCATCTACAGACACTGAGCACTGTCCCTCTCATAGTGACATCTAGAGATACTGAGCACTGTCCCTCTCATAGTGACATCTACAGACACTGAGCACTGTCCCTCTCATAGTAACATCTAGAGATACTGTCTCTCTCATAGTAACATCTACAGACACTGAGCACTGTCCCTCTCATGGTGATATCTACAGACACTGAACACTGTCCCTCTCATAGTGACATCTACAGACACTGAGCACTGTCCCTCTCATGGTGATATCTACAGACACTGAGCACTGTCCCTCTCATGGTGATATCTACAGACACTGAGCACTGTCCCTCTCATAGTGACATCTAGAGACACTGAGCACTGTCCCTCTCATAGTGACATCTAGAGACACTGAGCACTGTCCCTCTCATAGTGACATCTAGAGATACTGAACACTGTCCCTCTCATAGTGACATCTACAGACACTGAGCACTGTCCCTCTCATAGTGACATCTAGAGATACTGAGCACTGTCCCTCTCACAGTGACATCTACAGACATTGAGCACTGTCCCTCTCATGGTGATATCTACAGACACTGAGCACTGTCCCTCTCATAGTGACATCTAGAGATACTGAACACTGTCCCTCTCATAGTGACATCTACAGACACTGAGCACTGTCCCTCTCATAGTGACATCTAGAGACACTGAGCACTGTCCCTCTCATAGTGACATCTAGAGATACTGAACACTGTCCCTCTCACAGTGACATCTACAGACACTGAGCACTGTCCCTCTCATAGTGACATCTAGAGACACTGAGCACTGTCCCTCTCATAGTGACATCTAGAGATACTGAGCACTGTCCCTCTCACAGTGGCATCTACAGACACTGAGCACTGTCCCTCTCATAGTAATATCTAGAGATACTGTCTCTCTCATAGTGACATCTACGGACACTGAGCACTGTCCCTCTCATAGTGACATCTAGAGATACTGAGCACTGTCCCTCTCATAGTGACATCTACAGACACTGAGCACTGTCCCTCTCATAGTAACATCTAGAGATACTGTCTCTCTCATAGTAACATCTAGAGATACTGAGCACTGTCCCTCTCACAGTGACTTCTACAGACACTGAGCACTGTCCCTCTCATAGTGAATTCTAGAGATACTGAACACTGTCCCTCTCATAGTGACATCTACAGACACTGAGCACTGTCCCTCTCATGGTGATATCTACAGACACTGAACACTGTCCCTCTCATAGTGACATCTAGAGACACTGAGCACTGTCCCTCTCATAGTGACATCTAGAGATACTGAACACTGTCCCTCTCATAGTGACATCTACAGACACTGAGCACTGTCCCTCTCATAGTGACATCTAGAGATACTGAGCACTGTCCCTCTCACAGTGACATCTACAGACATTGAGCACTGTCCCTCTCATGGTGATATCTACAGATACTGAGCACTGTCCCTCTCATAGTGACATCTACAGACACTGAGCACTGTCCCTCTCATAGTGACATCTAGAGATACTGAACACTGTCCCTCTCATGGTGATATCTACAGACACTGAGCACTGTCCCTCTCATAGTGACATCTAGAGACACTGAGCACTGTCCCTCTCATAGTGACATCTAGAGATACTGAGCACTGTCCCTCTCATAGTGACATCTAGAGATACTGAGCACTGTCCCTCTCATAGTGACATCTACAGACACTGAGCACTGTCCCTCTCATAATAACATCTAGAGATACTGAGAAATGTCCCTCTCACAGTGATATCTACAGACACTGAGCACTGTCCCTCTCATAGTAATATCTAGAGATACTGTCTCTCTCATAGTGACATCTACGGACACTGAGCACTGTCCCTCTCATAGTGACATCTAGAGATACTGTCTCTCTCATAGTAACATCTAGAGATACTGAGCACTGTCCCTCTCACAGTGACTTCTACAGACACTGAGCACTGTCCCTCTCATAGTGAATTCTAGAGATACTGAACACTGTCCCTCTCATAGTGACATCTACAGACACTGAGCACTGTCCCTCTCATGGTGATATCTACAGACACTGAACACTGTCCCTCTCATAGTGACATCTAGAGATACTGAACACTGTCCCTCTCATAGTGACATCTACAGACACTGAGCACTGTCCCTCTCATAGTGACATCTAGAGATACTGAGCACTGTCCCTCTCACAGTGACATCTAGAGATACTGAACACTGTCCCTCTCATGGTGATATCTACAGACACTGAGCACTGTCCCTCTCATAGTGACATCTAGAGACACTGAGCACTGTCCCTCTCATAGTGACATCTACAGACACTGAGCACTGTCCCTCTCATAGTGACATCTAGAGATACTGAGCACTGTCCCTCTCATAGTGACATCTAGAGATACTGAACACTGTCCCTCTCATGGTGATATCTACAGACACTGAGCACTGTCCCTCTCATAGTGACATCTAGAGACACTGAGCACTGTCCCTCTCATAGTGACATCTAGAGATACTGAGCACTGTCCCTCTCATAGTGACATCTAGAGATACTGAGCACTGTCCCTCTCATAGTGACATCTACAGACACTGAGCACTGTCCCTCTCATAATAACATCTAGAGATACTGAGAAATGTCCCTCTCACAGTGATATCTACAGACACTGAGCACTGTCCCTCTCATAGTAATATCTAGAGATACTGTCTCTCTCATAGTGACATCTACGGACACTGAGCACTGTCCCTCTCATAGTAATATCTAGAGATACTGTCTCTCTCATAGTGACATCTACGGACACTGAGCAATGTCCCTCTCATAGTGACATCTACAGACACTGAACATTGTCCCTTTCATAGTGACTTCTAGAGACACTGAGCACTGTCTACAGTAACAGCACCATGCTACCTTTTCTAGAGACACCTGAGATTGCCCTCCTCACAGTAATAGTTCCTTCCTATGAAGGCAGTAGCTAAATCTTCTCCTAAAAGGGCTGTCCACCACGCTTTTCACCATGTAGTGTAGCAGACTTGGAAGAAAAAAAATCAACTTTGCAAGTTATCACATCCCTGTTACATGGATAATGTCCCTAAAACTCTTTAACTCAGTATCTCCCAAAATATAATGTTACTGTGAAACCTGTAATAAAAGCCTTTGTTTGTGCTGTAAAGAGATTTCTGAAACTAAAAGCTTTAATTCTCATGTGGAAAATTTGAGATTTGATCTAGTTAACTCTTTCATTGATCTTTAAACACCCTGTTCTAGATCAGAATGGTTTAACTTTCCATTTCTTTTTCCAAACCCAGGTTAAGAAAACCCAACGTGCCTCAAAGCTAACAAAAGACCAAACGCTTGTGAAACAGCAGACACAGGTGTGGTGGAAGGAACACGAACAACTCAGTGAAAGTCGGTAAGGAGGAGGAAACCCATAATTATGTTTTGGCCGTACAATTAATCAGTTTCTGTTGCTTTGTTGATTGCTTGGCTCTGTTCTGGTTATAGTAACAGGAGAAACCTTTGTTATTGCTTCTTTTTTTTACCCAGAGTTTCGGGGTAAACAGGACCATCTCCAAAATTTAAGGTGAGAGGGTAGACTCATACATTTCATGATTTTTATAGTTGCATTCTGCAATATTCAATTAGTTTAAATAGTAGTATTGTATCTAAAAAAACATCCATTATTACCTTTTGGGATCACATGAACCCAGTACAATTAGACATTAGTAGTATTGATTTCCTCTGGCAAGAATTCTACATATTTCTGGGCAGCATTATTCATGTACTTCCCAACAGCATGTACAGCTCAGCTTTCCAGGAAACCATAGGTGAGCATAGCATCAATTATTTTATAAATAAGTGGTTAAAATACATACTGCAGGGTTTGTTTTAAATTTTACAAAGCGTGTTCTATAAGCACGCATTATTCACATATGTTCCTTATTAAAACAGTTGTGTGCATATGGGTCCAGATCTACAGAAACGGTCGTACTGACTCATTGGTCTGGAACAGTGTTGTTACCTGGCTCCTTTTACAATGTCCCCCTCTCCCATGTCTCCAGTTCTATGAAATGGAGAGCTTTTGACAGAAAGGGTGGCTTCTCATGTCTAATATATTTATTAATTTTTTTTATTATTATTATATTTTTATAGCGCCCAAAAATTCCATAGTGCTTTACAATGGGTGGACTAACAAACATGTAATTGTAACCAGACATGTTTGACGCATAGGAACAGAGGGGTTGAGGGCCCTGCTCCATGTGTTTACATGCTAGATGGAGTGGGGTAAGTGACACAAAAGGTAAGGGAGGTATTAGGGTAGTAGATTGGTAGAATGGTTTTCACTGGAGGGGGGGGGGAGGAGGGGCAAGAGAAGAAGCTGATTTATTTGGGGGCAAATAAACAACTCTGTTTGCCATGATGAAGAAGAGGTCTGCCGATTGCTTTGAGCTACATCTCCCATTTAATCAGATGGAAAAAAATGATGGGAAAATGATGATTGATGTTTATGGGACAGCCATTAAATGCTGATTTTATTTACAGATCAAGTGAAAAGTGCCCAACTGAGGGAAATAAGAGGAGCAGTAAAAAAAATATAAATTTAGCTCCAAGCAGGATTCTTCCAGACAATTTGACTTCAGCGAGACAGATCAGCTACCCGTGTGCGAGTTGGAGATGTCAGTGATTCATTGATTCTCGTGTAAACTAGTGAGGGGTTCAGCTTATCGTCTAGCTAGTGCCAGTGCCACAGCCAGATTCACATATTTAAAATCATTTTAATAATATTTTTTTCATTTGGAAAAGAGATATTGGTGATTATTACATGGACCCTGGAGATGAATGGTAGGATAATATGGGAGAATGCTGCTGCCTGTGGGTGTGCAGGAGCAATGTTACCAAAGGTTGATGATATGGGATGTCTTATCAGATCGGTCTTTGCATATGGGAGCTATGAGTTCAGATTTCTGTTGGAGGAATTCTGTTTAATTTGCATCAGGAAAAGTTGAATTGAGGTTTTGCAAAACCAAACCTGCTGTTAAATTGTTAAATGGTTTATTTTTGTGAGTCAAAATGTGTTGAAATAAAAATCTAACTTAACTTGTTTTCAGTTGCAAACGCCATTCTGATAAAAGATAGGTGTTTTAAAGCAGACAATTCTGAAAGGTGCTCCTAGGAACCTTATAATTTTAGTGGACCTTTTGCACTTAGTACATTTTCCTTGTAATATTTTATTTAAAGGGATAACCCAGGCTGGATCAAACAGCCAATTTTATTGTATTATATAGTTAAAGGGACACTTTAGTCACCATAACAACTACAGCTTATTGAATTTGCTCTGGTGAGTAGAATCATTCAATTCAGGCTTTTTGCTGTAAACATTGTCTTCTCAGAGAAAATACAGTGTTTAAATTACAGCCTAGTGATAACTCCACTGGCCACTCCTCAGATGGCTGCTAGAGGTGCTTCCTTGGGCAGTGCTGCACACTGTGCAGCACTGCCATTCAGTTTCTCCACCCTCTGCATGCAGACACTGAACTTTCCTCATACAGATGCATTGATTCAATTCATCTCTATGAGGAGATGCTGATTGGTCAGGGCTGTGTTTGACTTCTGCTGCCTCTGTCCCTGATTTTCCTCCTTGACAGTCTCAGCCAATCCTATGGGGAAGCATTGTGATTGGCATTTGTTCCACATTTCTGATGAGGTCAGCCAAGGGGCAGAGCCAGCAGCAGTAGACTGCAATAAAAGTAAGATTTTGCTATATATAGGGTGCAATGAGGGTCCAGGGTGCTGGATGGTGGTTTTAACACTATAGGGTCAGGAATACATGTTTTTGTTCCTGACGCTATAGTGTTCCTTTAATGCATTACCCTAACCACCATAAAAATTCTGATGTAAATTCCTTTAAACTTCTGTATAGCAGAGGTTTATGGGTATATAGTTCGGACTCCAGCAGCAGTTTCATGAATAGCTGGTGAACTGCTACACTGGAACCGTTTTCAGTGTATTACTGCCCCATTCTCAGATAGATGAACAGGGGAGGTGGGGACTTTAAAGTTAAGCATGTGGACTCCATACAAAAATTATGCAGTATACAACCCAACATCCTCACATAATAGCAGTTAACGATGACAGTTCAAAAGATTTTATAATTATCAATACCGCACTCTCATGGATCCCAGGGTGTAACCGAGCCAATCCTCACAATGTGATTTGCAAAAAACTAATGATGGTCCAGGCACTCAAGTTCAATACAGTGGGCAGATGTATTGGAGCAAAATCGAAACAACGTTTCAGCCCACAACAGGCCCTTTTTCCTGTCCTATTGTGTTTTACACCCCACCTCATATAGACTGTAAGCTTGTTTTAGTATGGTTCTCTTCAACCTATTGTTCCTGGTAAGTATTCTTATAATTAGCCTATTTATAGCTAAATCCCCTCTCTCACAATATTGTAAAGCGCTAGGGAATCTGTTGGCGCTATATAAATGGCAATAATAATAATAATAATAGACCTCCTGCCAGGAAACACTGTGACATCTAAGAGAGTATTTACCAAGCAGGTCTGTCTGTGTTAGTTATTGAACTGTTTGTTTAGTTTGAATATTACTATGCTAAGTCACATTGGTCCTGTTCTTAATTACTGACTGGCAGATTCTTTCTTGTCATCTCGCCACCACTGCCTGCTCTTATGCCTACACCCATAATAAGAAAAGTGCCGTCTGGTGTTCAACCCCCGAAACAGTGAATTGTCTTACTCTAAATTGTAGAACTACAACTCCCGTGATGCTTTGCATGACTTTAGAATGACAAAGCATCATGGAAGTTTTAAGGTTTTCAAGGAAAGAACAGCCAATAATTAAAGTTTTAAAAAAGAATGAATGCATATTATATTGTCTATATCTGTGCTCCAACACTTGACAAATCTGGTGCCCAGGAGCCATATATCCTAGTTATTGCTAGCAACTATCTTTGAGTATTTAGGTAAAAACCCTTAATAGAAAACCTCTTTTGGCACCTACGAAAGCTCAAATTGATGGCAAATTCTTAGAGAAATTACATCATACCCTGTATTTTTTGACACATTAAAGGATGCTTCTAATGATGTTCGTGCAATCACAGTCCAACTGGTCACATACCTTCTGACTATCAGAGGAAATGGGCCATACACTTCACGCTAAACACAAAAATTTCAGATATCACAGTCAAAAACATTTTAATGAGACCACTGAAAAACTTAGCACTTTAAACATCTCAAAAGACTTCAAAGAATCCAACCAAAACCAGTGTATTCATAAAACAGCTAGCTGTGCTGGTATCACTTTTGGACACCTGTTGCCACCATGTTGTGTATGCTGACGTCAGACGTCCAATATGCACAGAATAAACATGAGTCAGCCTAGAAGTCTTGTTTGGTACTGGCTAATGACGCCCCAATGCCAGAACTGGAGTTTCACCTTCAGCAGCAGAGGGGTTAAACTCTGGAAGCTGCACATACAAACTCCAGGCACCGTGACCACTTCAAATGACTAAAGTGGTCATGGTGCCTGGAGTAAGCTTTTTACATTGATGGGTAATGAGCTAATCTATTTTGAGATTGTGGGAATACTGATGGAATTACAAGTTAGGCATGGTTTTCAGACAATAACATTTTCTGCATCAGTGACGTTACCTGCAGAAAAATAATTTGTGAAATTTGGTCTTAGATTATATTGAAACCTGTTCCATGACACCAGCTGAACGTGAAATATGTTAATAATTAATTACCATATTAATGTAGAATTGTACTGTAGGCCACTGTCTGTCTTAAATGGACAATATAGTCACCATTTCACTTCATCTCAGTGAAGTGGTCTGGGTGCAGTGCCACTAGAGGTGCTTCCCCTGCACTGACCAAATAAAATTTTGTAACGTTATGCGGAAACCCATAAGAAAGCACTGAATATAATGCTTTCCTACTGGGAAGCTTAAATGCGCATGAGGCTCTTGCTGTGCATGCGCATAAGGTCCCCAGCGCTCTTCTATGACTTCATAGCTCATCTGTGATGTCGTAGGAGGTACAGAGGTGAACACCGCCTTGGGAGCTTCAGCGCTGGAAAGCGGTAAATAAACCTTTTATTTATTGCATAAGGGGGGGGGGGAGGCATGGAAACCTATGTAGATCTAGGGATAGGGACAGTATAGCATTAGGTATACAGATTTGGCTTGGTACTCGTTTAAACATATCTGGCATGTAAATTTGACAATGTACTATGTCAGTTTATTCGCTATCAATACTGTCAACTATTTTTCATTAATCTTGTGTTTTCTTTTCCAAACTTATTTTAGAATAATTATAGAACAACAAGTCGCTGACTTACTAGAAGACTGTGTTCTGAAATATGATTTTTTTTCTGATATCAATAAGATGGGTAAGTAATGATAATTTGTAGGAATATATACCTTTTGTATCAAAAACATCTTCTAAATATGGAATGTCTTTAGAAAATACCACCAGAGTTTATTTTTCCTATTCCTTTACCCTTATTTATATAAAGTACTTCGAACTGTGAAAATACACTGTGTACTTTTTAGGATGTAGATTGCTTCAGCCTGACTTGCTTACGCGGACAGAAAAACTAGTCTTCTGCTAAATTGTATGATTTCTCAAGCTTTGAAAGACTCTTTTAGTCTGAAATTGGTGTTTGAGATCCAGTTAAGATCTCCATTATCAATTTGATATAAAAGAGCAACAGTGAATAACTACGGCTAACCAGAGCCAATGTTCGCTTTCAGATTGAGGCATGCAGGTCCCAGGGTGAAGTGCCATAATAATATATGTGTGTCTCAAATATAGGACTAAGGAACTATACCCAAAAATGATATAATATGCTGTGAAAGGAGCTATAAATATGCATTTGTCTCATACTTACCATGAGTGGAATGTTTCGGGGTTTTTTTTAGTTTGTGTTGTGTTTTGACCGTAATATAAAGTGCCACAGTAGATTTGACCACATGTCTTTATTCTCACGATTATCCACATATAGGATTTTACTTATTATATTATTATATCAGTGTTTATCACATGAGCATGAGATATTCGGATCACCAATTAAACACTTACCTTATCTATTCCCTTATTTGCAATACTGTTCTTGCATTCCTCTCTATTTATTTTGGGAGTTCAGCCTTCACAACCCCCTCTCAATGCTCCTCTTCTCTTGGACTGGTGGAACTGTGCTTGATGCTTTACCTCCCTTTAGTCTCCAAGGTCCACCTCCTGGTTCCTTACCTAGCGCTATCACATCATGGGCAAGAAAAATTAATTTCTTAACTGGTTAGTAGGGGCCAGTTCTTCCTACTGGTCTATTGACCTGTTAATATGGTGTTCCTCATCATAGTCCAAACTCTAGACTCAATAAACCTTCATTACGCAATGACATAAGATTGCACTTATAGGATAATTGCACCTACTAAATATTTATCTTGTAGCCCAGTACCCCCTAGAGGAACTTGAGCATGACAAAAATATATAACTGGACCATTATTTGAAGTACAAATTAAATAATCCAAATGGTTATTATTTTGTTAAAGGCCCGGGAGTTTTCAAATATGCTTAGACTCTACCGTAATCTCTTTTTGGCTTCATATAAGTCCCAAGCTGGATAATTTACAAAATGATATATCTAATACAGGATATATTTGGGTACCTCCAGTCTGATGGTAAGAATGCTGTTCAATAAATGCTACATACTATACACCATTATAATGTTTGAATAGCTTCTTATTCATCTTATTGGCACATACACTGAAGAAGTCAAACAATGAAGTGTAGTTTTAGGTGAAGTGATTCAAAGAAAAAACATACAAAACTGCCCAAGGAATGCAGAGGGATTTGGGAGTGTAAAGTGACTGATAAGGAATTGGGGACAATAGCAAAGACTTTTTATTAGGTGCCAAAGTGAATAGCAAGTGAAACCTAAGAAGGAACAATGGCATTAAGCAATAAACACGGGTCAGGTTTTACGTTGCTGTTAAGAAACAAGTTAAACTGGACTCCAGGGTCATTTAACAAGACAGACAACAAGAACAAAATGCTGACTAACGTTTTTGCTATTCAGTTGCCATAAAAATGCAGCTTACCGAGAAAAGTGGATTATTTTATGTCCTATATCAGATGAGCAAGGAAATATGTGAACCTGATCTGCAGCTAAACAGATTTCAACGTTTGGGTCTTATGATGATACAGAGCTACAGCGTAGCAGTATAGAAAGTCTTGCTGATTGCAGATCAAAGTCTCGATATTTCAAGCAGCCTCTGGGGTGAAACTACTCTATGGAAGAGACAGTAAATATTAAACAGAATATTTACAGGAATACGGCAAAGCTCATCATCGATATATTCAATAGCAGTTATCACGTCACAAGGTAAAAATAAACATGGAGATACAAGAAATACAAACAAGTATATTTGTAACTACAGGTACAATTTAAATGGCCCTCAAGGGCCAGATGATTTACAGCGGTTATTAGTCATAATAGCTCATCTTTCTTTACTGCTGTATTTCTCAGTTATTAGCTCATCTAAGTGAAGGCAGGTAGATTATAGCACCTTTAAATTCCGGATGTATTTCACCATTTTATACAGGATCAATATGAGGGATAATTGGATAGTAATTTAATTACGGGGTCCTTGATATACCAAACCAATGAAATGTGTGATGAGCACATTTCTATTCCCTGCCTGCAATGTGGGTTGATATAGGTAAAATCCTACTGAATATTTACCCTTCCTTCTACTTTTAGCAAATTTTTACTCCTCTACTTCAAGGGAGTTAAGTCCCGTGAAGTAGATGGAGAATAATGGAAAATTGCTATTCCTTGATTAAAGGGACACTATAGTCACCAGAACAACTACAGCTTATTGAATTTTTTCTGGTGAGTAGAATCATTACCTTCAGGCTTTTTGCTGTAAACACTGTCTTTTCAGAGAAACATTACATTACAGCCTAGTGATAACTTCACTGGCCACTCCTCAGGTGGCTGTTAGAGATCCTCCCTGGGTCATGGCTTCCAAAAATGCATCCAAACATTCAGTGTCTCCTCCCTCTGCATGCAGACACTGACCTTTCCTCATGAGGAGATGCTGATTGGCCAGGGCTGTGTTTGAATCATGCTGGCTCTGCCCCTGATCTGTCTCCTTGTCAGTCTCAGCCAATCTTATGGGGAAGCATTGTGATTGGATCAGGCCACCACTTCTAATGATGTCAGCAGACTGCGTGTTTTTCTGAGTCTAACAGCATGCAGAGTTACAGCTTCAGGCTTGAATACAGTAATAATTTGCTATATTTATGGAGGCATGAGGGGCCCAGGGGGGCTAGATGGTGGTTTTAACACTATAGGGTCAGGAATACATGTTTGTGTTCCTGACCCTATAGTGATCCTTTAATATTCTCTTGAACTGATATATTTGCGAAAAAGACAGGCTTTAAGACATTCAAAATTAAGTTGACATTTTGAAAAAGAGAAACTCCCAAATGTTTGTCATTCTAGAACACTGTTCATCCAATATTTTTTTTTTCTGGTTCTGCACCTTATATTATTGAGGGGAGACACAAATTCCTCCAGTTGTTTAATTTGTATAATGTGACAATAGAATCCATGGCATTGATGACACTAGTGTGTGATGATGTGAAATAGTGTGGTTACCCAGGCTTGTTAGAAGAGCTTACAATCTGGTTAGTAGCGTGCTGATGGGGAATTTTTAGCAATCCTTTTTTGAAACTGCCAGATGTTACAGGGTAACCCCCTCACTTCCCATAGAATTATTATAAAATGAGTATAAATTAATGTGTATAATGATCTTAAATGTCCACTCTAGTCAATACATCGGCCTGTCGTAATCATGCACATGTGTTGCTTTTTCGTATTATAAAAGACTGAGTCATCTTAACACTTATAAACAGCCTGTAACGCACGCACAAACACAACTAGCTTGATTCAGCTTGTGAATGAGAGTAATAAATGTAATAATAAATAAATCAAAAGCTGACTGTTGAATGCAATAAGAGGAGCATCTGGGAAGCAGCGAGAGGATATTGGATACAGGAGGTTTTGGAATTATATCAGCAGAACATATTGACAGTAATACACAGGAGCACAGCCTAGTCGCTACTCTAATACAAACTAGCCTAAGGAAGAAAATGAACTCATAGCTTGAAGCCACCATATGTGTGCAGAACAGAAGCTGGAATTCAGATCAACCAATTTAATGCACTGTATCCTCTATGAGTGTAATATTACAATTATTTGGCATGTCTAAAACAAACACGGTTGCCATTATGGTCAATAAGGGATGCTCATTTAAATTCTCTCTTGGGAGAGGCTGTTTTAAAGAGGAACTACCACCTGTGTGCAGGCGATGGCTCTTCTTTTAGTGCAAACCCAGGAAAGCTTACATTTACCTGGGTAAGGTGTGCATGGGAGGGGGGTAAGTAGGATCAAACTCACCTCTACAATTGCAGATTATCAGTGTTGCGCTCTTTCCTAAGTAAGCACATGCTTATTGGGAATACATTTCCCATAATTCCCTGTGCATGCTTGCACACTTGTCATCAATTTGCATGGACTCATGTGAAATTTGCTTTGGACATTACTATGAGCATTCGATGTAAATATGAATAAGAAAGAAGATTATTTTTTTTAAATGTTCACCTGATCGGAACCCTTTAGCTAGCTATTGGAAGGGACACTTTTGGCACCATAATGATTTAAGCTCAATTAAGTGGTTATGGTGACTGATCCCTGTCTCTGCAGGCTTTTGACAGATCTGTCAAGCTGAAGAAAAAAATAGGGCTTCAAAGTGGAAGACCTAGCTCCACCTACAAGCCCTGTCAGTTAAAATGCCTAGAATTATACTTCCCAGCTTGCATATAAATTCATACATGCTAAATTCATGTACTGATGGAAGCGAGCACTTACTTTCAATTAAAGCCTCTGTCTCTCTGAATAGTGTTAATATGCGCACCCATCACCAGTCTGTAGAAACAGTTTCAGTCTTTGGACTTGCAAGTACTCTCCAAGGGATCAGCATGTGAAAATACCAGCTGAAACAATGAAAAATAATTACTCTAGATATATTTAATAACTCTTAGGTGTGACATATAACACACCTAATAAACGATTTATGCAATTCTGACATTGGTTCATAACATATACTTCCCCCAAAATTTAATCTATTTTGTTAGTCTGACAAATTTTGTTAAACAAAAGTCTGGAGGAACAGGGTTCTCGCATCACAACCACTTCAATAAGCTGATGCACTTATGGTGCTTAGAGTGTCCCTTTAACCTCTGATGTGGTTGTTCATCTTTAAGACCCAGAAACTTATAAAAGTTGACTTTTAGGATGTGGATCAGAGCCATCAGTAGGGGTATACAATGAATAATGATGCAGTTTAATCCTTGCCAAATTCAGCCAAGACATTTATACAGAACTATACTTGATATAAAACCTCCAGGACTGGGGTCATGCTAGGACAGTCACATTTATTTGGTATTTTTCTAAAACAGTACCTAAAGGGGTTAATACCCCAGACAGCAGTGTTATTTTCTAATGCATTAACAAATAACCTCGCTACAGAGTTCATGACTCTCAGACAGTTTAAAATAACCGACTGTGGTCTGTATCCTGGAACCCACATCATAAAAGATGCTAAAGAATAAAACCATGTGAAAACATTGCACCAAATAATAAACTAGGTCTGAATAATACCGAATATTTGCAGTGAGTGTCTACAGGAAATCCATTAGAAGGAAGAACGAGGCATGAGATAGAAAATGTGCTTGCTTGACAATGATTTAGTAAAGACATTAATCACTCTAGTTTTTAGAACGTCCAGCTAAAGAAATAGAAAAATACAAAAAATAAACCTTGATCTATCCAACAGTGATAGCAATACTCTCTATATAAACAAAAGGCCTTTCAGTTTCCCCAAATCCTTTTTTGCAGAATAATGAAAATTCTAAATATGCATTAATGGTTTGAAGACATTAGTTTCATGCGTCTGTGATTGGCGATACACAACACATAACATACAACCTTTTTGCTACACCATAACCTGATAATAAATTAAATAAATGACATTTTTCATGTGGTCCTGACCGGATACATAGAGTTGGTACATAGTGTCCCTTTAAGAGAGAACTTAAAAAAGAATCCAGTTGAAATATCATTACCTGATCTTCCTATCTATGAACAAGTGATACCACAAGCCATATCTGAGCCATGACACAAGTTATCATTTCTGAAGAAGACATAACCTCCTAGAATTAGATTGCTTGCCCTTTCTTTCAATGGCATCCTTTACTAGTGCCATTTCATACATATTTCTCATTATTCATGTAACACTAACTGGAAACTGTACAACGATAAAGAGTGACCCAGTGGCCATCTCTTGTACATGATAAGAGCACATCTAAAAACAAAATATAGCCCAGAACTCATTTTATATATCTCATTATTTCTGCTTCTTGAGATGAGTTTTTAAAGAGTGTTTCTTCACGACTTTTGTAACTTGAACTAGTCCTTCTTGATCTTTGTGGAAAATGATGACTACCCGAGGCAGGGGTGGTGCGAACATCCACTCTTCTTGGCTTGCTAAAAGTGACATCATTAAAGCAGGCCCGCTGAGGAGAAGGATGCTATGAAAGGCCAGATCACAAGGCAATGTCAGAGCAATGTCAAGATAGGTAAATAAGTAGAGTAGAGTTCAGCATTCAGGATCTGGTAGCAAGATTGATAGATAGCCAGTGTCAAAGGCAGATAGCTTGGGGCAGGTATTAAACTAGTGAGCCATGTGAACTAGGCATATATCAAGTACAGGTAGCGGGGCAGAGGTCGAGTCCAGAAATTAAGGGGCATCAAATATCACATTATATGAGCACACCCTAGATACTAGGCTGCTAACTGTTTACTAGACATGCCCCTATGCCCAGTATAGCGAGTAGGGGCAGACTTTACTAATACTAATTAATCTTTACTTAGTATTAGTGAAGTTGGCTGAAAGACCAGTTTAGGTCTTTCAGCCTTTTGTTAGATAGCTCCCTGATACCGTGGGAATTAGGGAGTTATCTACTAAGCGGCTGCAAGATGCCTCTTGCGGACATCCCGAAATGCGTCCTAACATGAATGAACAAACTGTTCTCATTCTGTTAGGACGAAATTCGGTAGTTTCCCTGGCATTTTGTCTAAGTGACAGGATGTTCGGGAATGCTGACAGGAAGATCATGGATCAGGTGAGAATTGTGGGAAAATTGCTCTGACCACCAGAAACAAAGCACACTTTGCTCCTCCGCTGGTCATAGCTGGTCAGGCGTAGGAAACTTACATAAGACAAAAGTTTTAAAGAAAGCTAGAGCAGACAGGAAGAAATGAAAAACATAATGAGGGAGGGAGAGCAGAGTAATCGATTAAAAAGTTCGGCATAACAGTGCCGCTTTAAAAGATAAAAATTTGCATTACACAGAAATGGTCAAGCTCAGATACATGCTACCTGCACTACGCTCGCTCTACTGCTGTTAGATAATTATGTGAAATGTAGGCCAGCATCATCAGGGGGTTTGACTGACCATGGCTCATTTGTAGTTTTTTATTAGAAATACATATTTGAAACTGTTTGATACTTTTTATTTTATTTTTGTTTAAATGCTAGATTGATCTATTTGTTTTTCTATCTGTCTGTCTCTATCTCTTACGGTCTGTCCGTTGGCTTCTCAGTGTGTCTGCTTATCTGTCTGTCTGTCTCTATAACTATTTCTGTCTGTTTATTGACCTCTCAGTGTGTCTGCTTATCTGTCTCCCTCTCTATGTCCTTATTTTCTTGTTTTTCGCTCTAGTAATCTGTTTGTCTGCCTGTCTTTCTTGTACTGTTTTTTTCTGTCTTCTCCTACAATATTAATATTCTATTCAAGTATAATAAAAGTAAATGCAGCAAGGAAAATTCTTTGAGAAAGCACACAGATATAAAGAAATGGAAAATTTAACTTTCAGTACCCTTTCAGTCCCAAAGGTACCTCACAGCTTAGCTCATTCACGCTCAAGTCCCCATTGGCATGCTGTAGCGTCATTTTTCACCTGCTATTAAGTGATAAAACTTTCTGTTTGGAAGCAGAGCAGCAATTATCTGAGGAACGAGAAGGATATAAAGAATGCACAGTACATCCCATCTGGCAGCTAAGGGACGATTTAAAACACAGGATCGGGGAAATGCGGTATCATTCTCTCAAGCAAACTGAAATGGCAAACGACTTTGATCCCGTAAAGATTGTGGAACAGGTTGGTGTGTTACATCACAGAATCAAAGACCTACAATCAAACTCCCACTACTTTTGGACAGCAGCAATTGCCAGTATGGTATCAGTCCAAATGTATACACAAAACTGAAATACTTACCTGCATACTATCGTGAATCACCAAGTAAATTTAAATAACAGAGAATCTTAAACCACTGCAATGGCCATTAAACTGTTAGCTCACCTGACAACGTCAAGGCAAACCTCTAAAGTGAGTTATACACTGAGGATCTACTTGCTGCTATAAACTAAACGCAAAATCTGTAATGAGACATCAGTGGGTACTCCTATGATCCCCTACAAACGAATGAACCCTTCATAGAACACACAAGGTCATGTGGCAGCTCTGTAAAATGGTTGTTTTCGTTAAAAGCAAACTAAAATACAGAAAATTAAACCTGTACTCAAACTCCCACCACTTTTGGGTGGCAGCAGTGGCTGTAGCATTCATCAACCCAAATACTAAAACTAAAAACATTAGCTTTAATGGCCATTGATATTGGTATCAAAAACACCAGTTATTTAAATGTATGGAGGGAGTTGGGATAGTGTGCAGGTAACTTCTTTTTGTTTTGCATCTTAAAATTATTAACTATAAAATTAGTCACTGGTTTGTCTTTGACCTCAAACCAGTCTTAAACAGTTGTAATACTTTCTCTGAGATGGGGCCACTGCACCCTAAGTGTTAATTTAAGAAAGTTATATTTTTTTTAGATCCTATTCCTAATTGCAGTTCCACACGTGCCCACTGGGACACAGAACAAGGCCCTTATTTAATCATTGGCTAAATACTATTCATGCACCTTCTTTCTACGTTGTGTGAATATTTTGCAAAAATTCCTGAAGGTGACATCCCTGTGAGTGACAGCCATGAGAGCAATCTAAAGTTAGATATACTTAACTGAAGGTCTCCTTTTTCAGCTCCGGTGCTACACCCTCAATGAGCTTGCATCACTGCTATACTTTCACTAAGGTACAAGTAGAACAAAGGGGTCTATGAATATCATCATAAAGGGAAGACTGAATTAAAATGGCATAACAGGGGCATGAGTCCCACTAATCGTGGGCCCACCTGGCACTGCCCAAAGTAATGGTAAACTGCAGTTCACACTTGAGGATAGAGAATTATATCATAAAGGCCTCTCCTATCTTATAACCTAAAGGAAAATGTTTATTACAACTATGCAGTACCGTCACTAGGGTTGGTGTCACCCGGTGCAGTAACTCACGGTGTCACCCCAACCCCCTTAATAATGTGGGGGTTTTTTTTGTTGTTTTGTTTTTTACTAATGTAACTTGTAAATCATAACTTCCATCAGGACCCGTGCAAAGATTTTTGCCCCCCTAGGCAAACATAAATTTGCTGCCCCCTATTTGCCCTGCTCACCATGTGACTTCACAATGCCCCATACATATGATCTGAAAAGGCAGTGTGTTTACATTAAAAAACCTGCAGGAACAGGCTATTGACACCAGAACCACTAGAAACACAGAAACATAGAATGTGACGGCAGATAAGAACCATTAAGAACCATTCGGCCCATCTAGTCTGCCCAATTTTCTAAATATTTTCTAAATACTACACCAAGCTGTAGTGGTTCTGGTGACTATAGTGTCCCTTTTAATTTAAGTAGAGATTAGTGAGACTATTACCACCAGATGAGGACAAGAGGATGATGATGGGCTCAGGCTGCAGATTGGCTCCACTGGTCAGGTGTAGAATAGGCTCTCTGGAGGCTGTTTGTAACTCTGCCCACAAAAATCAACGAACAGGAAGCAGCTCCATTTTTTGAGGACCCTTACACAGCTCAAGGTTGGGGCCCCCAGGGCCTGACCGTGAGTATGCCTACAAGGCCCGCCCATAAATCCACCTACATGGCCCACACCTGAGTTCGCTCACAGGGAATGGAATGTATGTGTGTAGGGGATGTGTTATGTGTTATTGTAGAGGATGTAATGTGTGTGTGTTCTTATACCAGTTTGTGTACGGGATGTAGTGTGTGTGTGTATGTGTGTATAGGGGATGCAGTGTGTTTGTGTGTAAGGTATATAAAGCAGTGTGTGTTTGTATATAAGGAATGCATTGTGTGTGTGTGTGTGTGGGGCTGCAAGGTGTGTTTCTGTGTATGTAAGGGGTGTATTGAGTGTGTGTAAGATGCATTGTGTGTTTTTGTATATAAGGGGGATGCATTGTGTGTGCAAGGGCTGAATTGTGGGTGTGTTTGTGTGTATGAGGGATGCATTGTGTGTAAGGCTGAGTGTGTAAAGGAAGCATGGTGTGTTTCTGTGTGTGTGTGTGTAGGATTCACTGTATGTTTCGGTATGTGAGTAGGGATGCATTGTGTGTTTCTGTGTATGTGTAAGGATGCATTGTGTATGAGTGTAGTGTAAAAGAGAGGGTTTTTCTGTGTGTCTTTCCTCTCCCACCCCCAGGTCCCTCTGTGCGTCTCCCTCCTGAGCCCCTCTGTGTGTCCCTTAGTAAACTTCCCTCCCCTCCTGTCCCTTAGTGCTCTCCCCTGCTTCTCTGTTCTTTAGTGATCTCCCCTGTCCCTTAGTGCTCTCCCCTGCCCCCCTTTCCCTTAGAGTTCTCTCCCCTTTCCGTCTCTAGTGGTCTCCCCCCCCCCTGGTACTATCTCCCCTCTACCTCCCTCCCTTGGTGGTATAAACCCTCCTTCCCTCACCCCCCCTCTCCTGGTGGTATATCCGCTCTCCCCCCCTGGTGGTATCTCCCCTTCCCTTGTGTGCCTCCTACCTCCCTGTGTAGCGTGGCCCGGCAGCGCTGACCTCAGTACAGGAGCTTCTGTTTCCTGTACCCGGCCAGATTGACAGGAAGGGCTCACTGAGACCGCTCACTGTATCACGGTCCGCGCTGCCCAGCCATGCTTCTCAGAGTGACTGGCAGGATGGAGCGCTGTGCGCTTCCCTCCTGCAGGGTCACTCGTATCCTGTGCCCCCAAAGCGGAGCACCCTATAGGACGCACTGGCCCTGTTGTCACAACCCCCCACACCCTCCATAATGCACATCCTGGTGCGGGCCGCAACCCCCTTGTGACACCACTGCAACTATGCTAAGTAGCATGGCATATATGATCAAATACTTAAAGGACCACTATAGCTTAATGAAGTAGTCTGGGTGCCAGGTCCAGCTAGCATAGCAGTTTCAGAGAAACTTAGGGTTAATATATTAGGGTTAATCCAGCCTCCAGTGGCTGTCTCTTGACAGCCGCTAGAGGCGCTTGAGTGCTTCTCACTGTGAAAATCACAGTGAGAAGACGCCAGCGTCCATAGGAAAGCATTGTGAATACTTTCCTATGGACTGGCTGAATGCGCGTGCAGCTCCTGCCGCGCATGCGCATTCAGCCGAAAAGGAGGAGAGGAGGAGGAGAGCTCCCCGCCCGGCGCTGGAGAAAGAGGTAAGTTTAACCCCTTCCTCTCCCCAGAGCCGGGCAGGAGGGGGACCCTGAGGGTGGGGGCACCCTCAGGACACTATAGTGCCAGGAAAACGAGTATGTTTTCTTGGCACTATAGTGGTCCTTTAATTAACATGATACTTCCTCTTTAAATCTCAATTTGATGTAGCATCATAAGGAGAAGTAAGGGGCAGCTATCTTCTGGGCTTGTCCTCCCTTTCACCCAGCTCTTCTCTGCTAAGATGTAATAGTCTCAAACAGCTTTATAGAAATTGCAGTGATTGAAATCCATAAAAGCACTAGTTATGTGTAGTTTTGATAAATATATTAAAGGCACTAAAAAGCTGCGTAGGAGGCAGATTTAATTTAAACATTTAGTGCTACCAATACTTTAGAAAGAGTGACATAAACCGAATAAACGTGATGCAGTAATAATGATTTCCCCCATGATTTGTGCATTTTGCTAGTGCGTTTTAATCAGTTATTCCCTGCAAAATCACAAACCTGTCTGTAACTAGGTTGGAGAAAGTGCTATATTAAGCCTTTACAACTTACCTGCAGTCTTTACAAATTATACATTGCCAGCAGAACTGTGTAAGATTACATTTATTAAAATAAAGTGACTATTGATTTTATTTCAAGTCAGGTTACCATGGATCGAAACGCACCTTACATCAAAATGACTCCAAAAATTGCTTCACATCAAAAAGACAAAAAATGTCCTTTAGAGACATACATAGATCAAACGTTTTAAGTAATTAACTGCAGAGAGACCTGTTTTTTGTCAAACTGCTTGAAAACAGTTTAACAAAATATTGGGGGGACGGCGCCCAAAGACTCCTGTCACCATAACCACTACTGAAAACTGTAGTGTTTATGGTGCCTAGCGTGACGCTTTCATATAATACAGGCGTAATGTGATGTGACACTATTTATGAAGAATTACTATTTTTTTAAATCCATAGTTAACATTGTTTTTATATAACTGTAAAGGTAATGTTAAACTGTGTTCATTATGTTAACGCTAAAGTAAAATCTAGATTTGTTTTTGTTGAAATATTATTTGAACCAAGTGTTCTTCATTCTAAATTCAGATTAGAGGAATTAGATGGGCTTAATAACTGAGATCGGAATTATGTGACTGAATAAACTAAAGATTATTTAATAAGATATTTTAATTCTTCCTGACATGTATCATGCTTAAACTATGAGAACGGGAAACAAATATTCTGATTATTTTACATTTCCTCTTTTGTATATTTTATTCATAGATTGAATTTGTGAAGAAGCAACAGAATGATCTGATTGAAAATCTTGCTCAAGAGAAGCAGGTTTTAGAAGAGGCACTTATGGATTGCGAAGCTCAGGTAACACAAACAGAAATTCTTATTTAAATATAAAAAGTATTACAAAACACATTTGTTATTTCAGGTTTAAAATATTTCTTTTCACAGCAGTTAATAAATGCAGAGAACATTGGACATGAGTTTTGTGAGGTCCCTCCAGTTCTACAGGAAATACATTGCCCCTATCCTGATTTGAAATCCTCGGTGCTAAGTGAATATCAGGGTCTTGCAGACGGATACCTTTCTAGGATACAAGAACTTGACAGACAATCAAAAGACATAGACAGGTAAGCAATATTATACCCCTATTTAAGGAAACTTGTTTTGCATTGACCTTTGGAAGTATTTACATTTTTAACTCGGCACTGTCGCTAACCTTTGCTTTATTTAAATCAGTTTTGTTACCAGTACCTTGTTTGCCTCCGGATGGCTAGTCTCTGGATGGAATATAGTTGATACCACTGGGCTGTCCTGAGTTCACAAGTCAAAGACGTGTTTTCTAACTAGAGTCCTCTAGCCAGGTCTTGAAAATGGCTATAATACAATGATTGCTCTCTGCTTTAAGTGATTATGAAAGTTATCAATTCCCCTATTGTTGAACTGAGACAGGAACTGCTGATGCTTTCAGCCAATGAGTGCCCAGCAGGCTTAGCATTCGACTTCTACAGCTGTGTAGAAGCTGAATGTTGTAAATCCAGACTAGGATCCCAGCGAGACCCAGGTAAGAGGACAAACAGGTACTAAACGATTTGTTCTAACACTGTGGTGCAGGCTTTAGTGAATGTGATGCTTGGAGTCAGGATTAAGAGATCATCGGGCCTGCTGCTGACAATTACGATGGGCCTTATTACAGAATGTTATCTACAGAAAGCACTAAAACAGTTATACCTCTCAACCGTCGTGTATTTGGTGGAGGTGGTACTGGAGGGAACTCAAAGGATGCAGCTATAAGAAAACACATACGCTAATCTCCACTACATATGATTATCTCTTGCTTTCATATCTCAAGCAAATCAAGAGCAGCGTCCGGTGAAGCAGGTCATCAGAGGGTGGGGTAAAAGGGTGGGCCACTGATGTAAATCACGTTACGGGCACTGTCCAGAGTGGCAGGAATGGCCAGAAATAGAGAGGGTTTGCCCGAATAATTAGAAGGTCAGTCTGCGGCGAATGCATGTCAGACTGCCCACCAATCATGCAGGCTGGCTAACTAAGGTCATATTATGCAGACAGTGCCCTGAGCATGGCGCAAATGTGTCTAATGATGTGTTCACTATACACTTTCTGGGGACTGTCCCCTAGCACTCACTTGTCCACTCCTCTCCTTACCTTCTTACTAGTAGGCAGAGGGTCCTGTTATACAGTCTGGGACAGAGAAAAGGTGGATGTAGTGAGTGTAGAAGAAAGGGACATACCACAGTGTTAGAGAGACCGAAGCAGCAAGACCATTTGCATAGTGCGTAAAGTCAGCTGTACCTTAACTAATTTCATTGGCAACAAGTCCATACAAATTCTGTTCCCCCACATCCCTCTTGAGTTTCCATATTTAATTACCTCTGTACACAGCGAGAGCATGTGTAGTGCCATAAAAAAAAAAAAAAATTTTTTAAATCAATGGGCCTATTCCATGGGCATGAGCCCGGAACTTCAGCACTGCTTGGATTAATCCTTTGAGAGGGGAAAATAGCTTCATTCAGTCTGCATCTTTGCCATACAATTTTGCAGTTAGCATCTTTTTTTGCAAATTCATGTTGAGTTTTAATTACTTGGTGATTTTCAGTTATTGAGTCAAACATTTATTACTCAGTGACCATGAGTAAAAGCTGGAAAGAGGTTTGACCATGCGCCTTAGCATACGTTTTGTCGTTCGTGATATTGTCATTGACTAATAAAGTTGCATGTTGGAGTCAAGTATCAAGCATTACACTTCTATGCCTCCTTTCTCACTTTTCCTTTACTAGGCCTATGCCCTATTTTTTTACATTCTTCTACCTTCTGACAAATGACTGAATATTTATTAGGTTGGTCAGTTGCTCAACCATTAACATAGTTAAATCGTGTTAATCGTCACCCATATTTTCATGACACAGTAGTACTTTAAAGGAACACTACAGGGTCAGGAATACAAACATGTGTTCCTGACCTTATAGTGTTAAAATCACCATCTAACCCCTCCTGTCCCCCACCCCACCTTACCCCATAAATATAGTAAAATCTTATTTTTATCAAGTCTGCTGCTGCTGGCTCTGCCCCTGAGCTGCCTGCTTGGCTGACATCATCAGAAGTGATTCTCTGAGCCAATCACAATGCTTTCCCATAGGATTGGCGGAGACTGTGAAGGAAGTAGATCGGGGCAGAGCCAGCACAAATCAAACACAGCTATGGCCAATCATCATCTCCTTATAGAGATGCATTGAATCAGTGCATCTCTATGAGGAGAGTTCAGTGTCTTCATGCAGAGGGTGGAGACACTGAATGTCACCAGAAAGCACCTCTAGCAGCCATCTGAGGAGTGGCCAGTGAAGTTATCACTAGGCTGTAATGTAAACACTGCATTTCTTCTGAAAAAAAAAGTGTTTCCAGCAAAAAGCCTGAAGGTAATGATTCTACTCACCAGAACAAATAAAATAAGCTGTAGTTGTTCTGGTGACTCTACAGTCCCTTTAAAGACTATATATGTAGTTATTATTCATTTTGTATGTGTATATATTTTTTTCTTTTGTGGTTGTATTTACCCATAGTGTTTAGTGCTGATACAATAATTATCATATATGTTCTCCAGTACTCCGTAATATCGGTGTACACCTTCAGCCTTTGATGATCTCCCATTGAATGTTTGAGTGGTAAACAGCATGCTGAATATTGATTTAACACTTAAAGGGTTAAGGCCGTTACTTCACCTCCTTCTCTTTAAATTTTTTTACTTTTAAAATGAAATTGAGCTTTGTGGATATTATTCGTAGGCTTTCCAATGCCCCTTTAGAGCACAGAATTCATTAGCTGCAAACTGTGAATTTTGCCTCTGATGTATTTTCTTAGGGTCAGATTAATTCTGGCTAGCAGTCTCCTTCCCTCCTGATGCGTAGATTGCAAATTCATGAACAAACAAGAAGGGAAGTTTTAACAGATTTGTACTTCCTAATGTCAACTGGCGAAATGGAAAAACTGTACGCTCATACTAAACAAGTTACTGTGAAGTTCTGTAATTAGGATATGAGGCGATATGTAAATGTGCTTATTTTCTTACTTTATGATACCACAGCATTAATCCAAATTTTTATATTTTGATGGTACTGTTACTTTAGACTTTAGCTACCTTGATCATCCATAATCGTTTTTTTTAATTAAAAAACACAAGCATCTCGTTTTTATTTCATTCCCCTCGTTTCAGATTCGGAGCTGCAAACACCAACATATCTTGCAATTGTTAAGCCTATAAGACACAAAATGTACTGTAATATCATATAATGTGAAAACATATTGTCAATCACCAAATTTGTTCATTTTAATAAAGCCGTTCAAGGGGTAGTTGAAGAACTATATCCATTACTGCTCATGGGTACCTTCTCCCAGAGTTTTTTGTTGTCAGACCATTTTGGAGGGGTTTGACAATAAGGGGGGCCTTTCTCTAGTACTCATAATCCACCCTCATTTCAGCCACATGCATATTACTACACTTCTGTGGTATCAGGTGGGATCCGTCCAACCTCAAAAGCAGTGATAGGCTGAGAGTAACAAACATACCTCTGCCAGCATTCTAAACCCAACACATCTGTTTATGTTGGAACTAATCACACTATATGTTATTTATTATTTATTATTTATTATTGCACTTTATAAAGCGCACACAGATTCCACAGTTTCCAGTCCCATCTCAACCGCAAGGTGTTGCCGAGTCCCATGATGCCCACCTAGATGAAAAATTGGCATTATGGGAAGAAGAGTCCACAGAAGATTTATTTCTGCCAGCTTTTTAGAGAATTATGACTAGATACTAGATATTGAATTACACTAGAATTTGCACTCTTTCTGTGCTTTTTTTAACACGTAAGAAATCTTAATATTCAGTTTTTGTTTTTTTTTCATTTATGCTTTTTTAACAAGAAGAATTGATGGTTTGTGAGAAATTGACAACATATTCTTCTCTCTTTGGCTAAATAATAGCATTTTTTTTTTCATTCTTATCTAGAGCTGAACTAAAATAAAATTCCTTGTTATGGTAATTGGAAAAGGATTAACAACATTTGTATCTGAGTAATCCACAAACGTCCCAGATGCAAGTCCATGTTTCCGTGTCACTTACAATGAATTAGAGCATTACATTTAATACCCAGAACATTATAGGAAATAATAATTTAACATCCAAAATTCAATTACCATTGCTGCCGCTGCTAGGAAGAAATGACTCTTATTATCTCATTTTCAATCATCGTTTGTTGGAAAGACAAAAGAACAGTCACAATTTCAGTTGTCAGGCACCATGGAAATAACTGTACAAGGGACACGTTAGGTGGGCAAACTCCGTGTTTGCTCATTTCGAACGAATTCAGTTAGTAACATAAAGTATAAACAGATTAAAACATCCATTTTACCTACACTATCAGCTATGATGACAGCTATGATGTGTTACAATTTTGTTCTAAGAGACAAATATTCCTATCACACTTGCTTTTGTAGAAAGCAGAGACAGGAATGTTGGAACTAGTTTGCATAAATCATAATAATTGTCACAATTACAAAGTCATTTCCCTGCAGTGTTTTCAGTAGATGTCTGTTCTGTGTTGAGTCCTTGTCAGCGGACACAATAATTTGCATTTTCTTCATGCATTTCTGCATATGTACCCTAAATCCTTACAGATCAGGTCACCCCTCTATTGCCACCAAACATGCTCGATCACACAAACCTATTATACACATTAAAGTTATTGCAAGGATCTCAAAAACTTATACGCTTACAGTCAGAACTTCATGGGGAGAATTTAACTCTTGGCATTAAAATTTGTTGTTTTCTTGTTTTTGTTTTTGTTTTGCTACCATAACATTTTACTGGTTATTTTTCTGCAATGTACGAAGTATTTCTCACCACAAGCTGAAAGATAGCTCAGTGCTTTGATTCCAGAAAAATCAATTGAAGGTTTGATTTCCAGCAAGTTCAATCTCACTCTTATCCTTCTGAGATTTAAAGAATTAGTACCAATAAACTGGGTGATTATAATGAAATCTAGATCTCGTTAATGACTAATTGAATCTTTCCTGGTTAAATACTCTGATATTCTTAATAATTAGATAAATCCATCAATATAATTATTTGTTATCCAAGGGTTATCCCCAATACATGTTGCAAGAGAAAGCAATACCTTGTAAAAATGCTGCTGAACATTCAGGCGCTGAAATAGTTACATACAGCCATACAAATGTAACATATTAATCATCAGAGGAGTATTGTTGGGGTCTGGCAATTTTGGTGTAATAAATCTAACATCTATTACACATATTGCTGGGTTTATTCAGGACACCCAGGAATTTATACAGAATGAAAATTAATTTGCAAATTTGAAATCTAAATAGCGGAATTGATAGAATTCTGAGACTCTGCTACTATTTCAGCTTACTTTTTTGGCCTCAGATTTGCAATTCTCTTGCAGCTCAAAGACTGGCAGGTTTATCCCTTATAACGTAGAGGCCGGAAAATCCCAAATATGTAAATGTGTGTAGCCAGCACTCGCTTTGACCAAATTTGAATTTACTTTTAACACACCTATAATGAAACATCAGCTCCCTCTAGTGTATGGGGTTAGGTAGGGTTACTCATTTGTTTTTGGGTTTTTTAACGTAGGTTGTAATAACTCTTGGATGGAGTATTTTGCGAAACAGTATATAAATCACAAACATTATTTAATTTGGAAATTCCCCTCTAGAAATCTTGGCAGTTAAAATACTCTGCTTTGACTAAATAAGGATGTGTAAGTGTAATAGAGTGTGGGAGGACAAACTATTTGTGACAGTAACAAAATGTATGAACCTGCAATGCGAGACAGTGTGTTCTGGCGCAGGCAGTAGGGTGCTGTAGGGCTGGTGGGAAGGGAGAGGAGTTGTAAGCCCTGATCTAACCTTATTACAGTGAATTATTTAGTAAGCTTGGAAACCAGCTCAGGAAAAGGCAGTGTAAAGATTTGGATTAATACACTATAACTTCAGGCTCAGAACAAAACATACCTTACAACAAACAAAATACTACTTTATTTCAAAATGTAGCAGTGCTTATCTCTTTAAAAAAGAGGATTACATGGATTTTCACCGGTTTTAAAGGAATACTCCAAACACCATAACCACTACAGCTCACTTAGCTTAGACAGATTGCGGATTGCGGCTTGCGGCTCTCCTGTGTCTGTAGTGAAGGCATGGAGCAGTACTCAGTGGACCCCAGTTAAGAAGTCAAACTGTTCTAAAATGGTTTGACTATTTATATTGAGGTGCGCCAGGGCACTTCTTGCACCATAACCACTAAAGTGCGCAGTGGTGGTTGTGGTGCTTATAGAGAGTTCCTTTATTTTCCTATGCCTTCTGAGTGCAAAGCTGCATCACTGTTCTATAGAAAATAGCAAAGAAGTCTCAGAATTAGTATTTATAACAGCTTATCGTATTCCAGCTCATCTATAGAATGTATCTACAGAATGTCTCACGTCTAAAGAGCCAAAGATCTGAATGATGAGAGATATAGTTAACAGCAAAATCTCATTCTGAGAGGGCAACGGCGGTTGAACCCATTGCTCTCAGCCTATCATTGCCCTCAGCCTATCATTGCCCTCCAAGGTTGGATGGATACTCGCTGATAATGCAGAAGGGTAATTTCTGTATTTTCTCTGTGGCTGCAGAGGGGGTGAACGATAGGTTCTGAAAACAACCTGCATATTTTTTTTTTCAAAAACAATTTGATTAAAAAAAACAGTAGAAGACACCCATAGACCCTTAGCACCATAACCACTACAAGTAGCTGGGGCATAGATTGCAGCTTTAAATTTATATATAGACAAAAAGAGAATTGGGCGTATGCATTTCTCAGCAGGGAAAATGAATAGTAGAAAACGTTAAAATCAGTGTAGGACCCACCAATATTGGGGTACGTGAAGTAGTGGTGGGCTGAATCCCCATATTTGTTTGCTGAGAGACAGGTGATTTTAAGCTTTGTAAAATCTCAAACTGTATTTTTGTTTGTGTGCTGTTCTTAACTGTATTTTGTTCAAATATATATATAAACATTTTGCCTACAAAGACCCATTGTAGGCAATATAAACTAAAACGAAGGAAATATAGTACATCTCTCTGTGTTAATGATCCCCAGTGATGTCTCTACAATTAATTACTGCTGAGTTTGCTGAAACAGAAGTGGGTAACCTAATGTCGAGTGTATATATTTCCCATATGTGATCATGCCTTACTCACCGGAGTAGTAGAGTGTAAAATTAAACCAAATAAATTACGTTTTAATGGATTTTAAACATTCTGGTTGAAAAATGTACTGTTTATTCAGTCAGAATGAAATAAAATACGAGTTTTCTTTTTTTTTAGGAATTGTAAATGGAGTGACACGGACCACTGGATTTTCAGGACCATTATTAGCCAGTACCCACGTGACCTTCCTAACCGAAGAGTGTTATATTTAGATATGTTATCACGGCATTTGACAGACAAATCGAGACAGGAATTGGTCAGTAGACTTCTGAATGCTTGATTTTATTTTTTATTGTTTAGATTAAATTAGTACAATAAGTATAAAATAATCATCAAATTCACATTCAAAGAATGCTGAATAATCTTAATGAATTATAAATTAATAAATAATTAGAGTGGCATAAGAGTATGAGTAGAGTGTGTACACTGCTCAGAAATGGCAGTGTGTACACTGCTCAGACTGCAGGGAGAAGCTCTTTGCCCAGAACCACTTCATTAAGCTGTAGTGGTTCTGGTGCCTTGAGTTACCCTTTAATCTTTCTTTAGCAAAAGCGTTTTGTTAAAAATAAAACAGAAAATTTGACATTGGGATGGATTGCATTTACCAACCAAAAACAAAATGTGTGTGTACAAAGTTGTAGTTCTGTTGGAAATAGTGTTGGGATCAAGAGATTATATGGTGTCATTTAACTAGCTATGTCCCAGCCATACAGTACATATAACAGAAAAATATAAAACAATTTATAAATGCTCTATTTTTTAAAGATTTTAATTGTGATACATTATTGTGGCCTTTGTGTATTTATCCTAAAAATGTATAGACACAGGTGATAGGTCAGTTTTACAGACATTCATTCATCCCTGATTTTTTACATCAGTTTTAAGTTATTCTATATGAGTGCTTTGAGATTCTCTCTTGTGGTCTTATCTTTCACCAAAGACTTGCTTTCACAATACATATATCCCCTGATAACATTTTCACTTACAATGACACAGTTGGTTTATTACAAGCTATATATCACATGTGCAATTATTCGTCTTAGTGGTCTGAGGTTAGATCAACCCCACAGAGTTACATCAGCTAGTCAGTTAGTAGTCATGACAACAACTGCATTTTAATGATATTTGAAGCTAGGTCATTTTATCATTTCAAAATGCGATTAAATCAAAATGTCTCCAGAGCTACTGCCTGAATGTTGAATATAGCCAACAGTGGCACATTGCTTTTTAAAATCACAAAGGTAGTGTTTTTTATGATGATTATTGGCAGCATTTGGTCATCATTCTCAACTGGGGATGAACAGAAAATAATTTGTAACTTTTTTTCCCCCGCTTTTGAAGGTTAGCCATGAGAAAGTTTGGGACATGCATCATTTTGCTAAAGATCAAAGAAGAGCTTTGATGGAATCCTGGGTTCGATATAGGAAAGACTTTGTAGTGAAGGCCATGGTAACCATCGCTGAGGCCTGTTATGCATATGAAACGGAAATGACTCTGGCAAATGATAGGAAAAAGCAGCAGGAGATCTGTAGTGAGCTTAAAGAAAAAGTAAGTGATCCTATAAGCAGAAATTAGAGCACTAACCTGTGTAGAACACTGGCCCAGTGAATAAACCCTGAAAATGAATAACGGGTCCCACGAATCACAAAACAAAATACTTTTTACATGGAGATAAGAAAAACTGGTTCTTTCCAGCCAAAATCAATGTCTGGCGTGAAGCAGCTGTGTAAATTTCCGATTCCTTTAAATAACTGACAAAACTGGGCCCAGTTAAGAATGCAGAAAATTCAGTCTTACCCGGCCCTTGGAATATGAATTTGTTTTGTTGAAGGCATTCAAATGGACAGCGAGCCGGTGCAGGGAGGCATCCCATTGTACAGCGCTATGGAATTTGCTGGCGCTATATAAATGATAAAATAATAATAATGTCAAAGAATCAAGCCAGACATAAAACCTAGTGGTTTTTGGGAGTTCTTAAAGTGACTAAAAACTAAGTTTGAAAAGACAGAAAATAGGTTAACATGGAAGTACTATTTGTAAAATTGCTGAAGGTTTTATTGCTTTTTGGTACCATGGATGATCTCAATTATCAGTGAATTAGTCATGTTTGTGTATTATGCCTTTATAAACAGATTGGGAAAAAGATGTGTTTGGCCTCGCTTCTTTTGATTGAATGCCTTCAATGAATCCAGGTTAGATCCCTGTTTGTGGCTTCCTTAAACAAACACTCCAAGCACCATGACTATTATAGTGCGCTGTAGTGGTTATGGTGTCCAGAGTGTCCTGGAACCCCCCCTCATTGTAAGTAGTCAAACTGTTTTAAAGCTGGGGTCCACTCCCTGCCTTCACTTCTGACATAACTAATTTCTGCTCCCTGACTTCATACAGGCAGTAGTGAGAGCAAGAAGGTCCTGCTAGGTGCTTAAGTGAGATTCCCCAAGCCCTGTACAGAGTGTTCCTCAGCAGACCCTAAGTACGACGTCATACCATTGTAAACATTTTGGCTAGTTACAATGGGGGAGGGGCTCCATAACAACTACAGTACTCTGTAGACGGTATGATACATGGAGTATTCCTTTAATGGGATCCACCACTTTGTCTGTTGCTGCATCCAACCAGCATGGTAACCATTATTGAACTTTATTTCCCAGATTTCTGTGCCAGAAAAGACATTTTATAATGTAGTTTAAACTATGATTTGCACTATTATATGGTTTTGTAAGATACAATACACTATGGACCATTCTGCATTAAAGAGCAGGACTGTCGGGGGCTGAATCTTATGTTTAAAGCACAAACGCAGGGCTGAGTGTAATGTAATTACACACAAATATATGCAGAACGTATACACACATACATCAGCATTCTCAGAACACTGACATAAATACAAGTACACACAGTATCATTATTATTTCATTTTTGAGTTCCACTGTGTGAATTATGGATTGATACTGACCATCATCCACTCCCAGGAATTTCTGGGTCTGGATATGAATGGTGGGGTTAGGGCTGTAATGATGGGCTTTTGGGCATTGCCACTGTCAACCCATGCTTCACACAGAAACACTCTGCTTGTGGAGGAGACTGAAATGGGGAATGTAAGGAAATCAAGTATAGCTGAACCGCTTTGATAATTCCTCCTGCAATGCCAGCGTCTAAGGTAGTTCTAAGCAATGAAGTCCATAAGAAATATAACAGCTTCCCAAGATAATCCCCTTGGTAAAGCATACGAATTCCCAAATAACAGTCAGAGTCCAGAATCAGGATACAAGTAGATCTGAGGTCTGGAATCTCCAGCCTGCTTTTTATTAAGGTTACAGACAAGAAGTACACACCCAGGGGGAGGCATTAAATCACCAATCAGGTATAGGTTACAGCCCATACCTCCCTCCCCTCTGATAAACAGTTAACTTAATTAAAACGTGCACTATTTTACCCCAGTTCTGGATGTACCCCAAAAACAGGGGGTACACCTTTAAATTGGGTACCGCTGGATAGTTCTCATTTGTGGGGACAACATATCAAAAAATCAGTCCATTCGGATGGATGGTTCGGGAGTTATGGAACACTAAAGTTTTGACCGACCGCACGGACCATCTAGCCGAAAATAGTTCCATAAGTTTTGGCCCTGCGGTCGGTCTCCGTTTAGGCGAATAAAAGAGACGAAAGCCCTGCCATCCATTCGCATCTTTGTGATCGTTGAAATCCCCATACGAAGTTGCATGTAACTACCGAACGGCCGGTGATTCGGTCGTTCCCGTGCGAAGTTCTGGATGTATGGAGGTCTCAGCGGTGTTCGCCTGTTTGCGTATCCGATTTTAGTTCCACGCGTTGACGGGCAAACACCGCTGTTCGCACGTAAAATGGCCGCGGCCACGTGTAAAGTGCCGAAATGGCGGCCATCTATATTTTACACAGGGAATTCGCCTGAATCCATCCGAAGGGTAGAAATGAAAGCTATATGCCGAATTCCAGCTGAGTTTGGTGAATTAACTGTACAACAAAAGGTAGAAATCCTGATTAACGGAGTCATTTCTTCACACTGCTCCCCTATAAGTCCATAGGTCGGCATACCCGCCTAGACCCTGTCGGGTTGGCTTGGGGATGTCCGATGAAAGTACGTTTTTAGGTGTCCAGTTCGGTCTGGCGGGACAGACCATCCGCATTCCCATTTTGTTTACCCGGACGGTACTGCATGGTAAAATTGTATGGTTGGAGAGCTAAGCTCCACCGGAGTAGCCTGGGGTTGTCACCAGCTACCCGGTTGAGCCATACCAGGGGGTTGTGGTCGGTCATAAGGGTAAACGCTCGCCCATACAGATAGGGCTGAAGTTTCTTGAGGGCCCACACGAGGGCCAAGCACTCTTTTTCTACGGTGGCATAGCTGACTTCTCGGGGCAAAAGTTTACGGCTGAGGTATGCCACCGGGTGTTCCATGCCATCCGCCCCCACCTGGATTAGCACGGCTCCCAGCCCAAACATGGAGGCATCTGTGTGGACCAGAAATTGTTTAGTGTAATCGGGTGCTGCCAACACAGGGGCCTCACTCAATGCCGCTTTGAGCTTCTGGAAAGCGTCCGTGCACTCTGGGGTCCAGGAGACCTGTTTGGGAAGAGCCTTTTTGGTAAGGTCCGTGAGGGGCTTGGCCAGGGCGCTATATTCTGGGACGAACTTTCTATAATACCCGGCCGTCCCTAAGAAAGCCAGTACCTGGGTTTTGGTCCGGGGTTGGGGCCAGTTAGCTATGGCCTCTACCTTAGCGGGCTCTGGGCGTTGTCTACCGGAGCCGACCCGGTGGCCTAGATACTGGACCTCGGCTAGGCCTACGTGACATTTGTCGGGTTTCAAAGTGAGCCCTGCGAGGTGGATTCGTTCGAGTACCCTGGACACATGACCTAGATGGTCTCCCCATGTGCGGCTATAGATGGCAATATCATCTAGATACGCACATGCGAAGTCCTGAAACCCCTCCAGGAGCCTATCCGCCATCCGCTGAAACGTAGCCGGGGCGTTCTTCATCCCAAAGGGCATCACCTTGAATTGGTATAGCCCAAAAGGGGTGACGAACGCCGACTTGGGGATGGCCGCAGGCTCCAAGGGGATCTGCCAATAACCCTTGCACAGGTCCAGGGTAGTCAAGTAGTTCCCCCCCGCCATACGGTCTAAGAGCTCATCTATTCTAGGCATGGGGTAGGCATCGGTTATGGTACGGTCGTTAAGCCTCCGGTAATCTACACAGAAGCGCGTAGTGCCGTCGCGCTTCGGTACTAGTACCACCGGGGAGGCCCAAGGACTTTGGGAGGGTTCTATTACCCCTAGCCGTAACATATCCCTTAACTCGGTGAGCATACTCTCACGTACTGCTTCTGGGATCCGATATGGCTGTTGCCGTAGGGGCGTCTCTCCCTGGGTTTCCACACGGTGTACCGCAGCGGAGGTATAGCCGGGGGTAGCGGAAAACATCTCTCGGTATCCCTGCAGCAGTTGAGTAGCCTCCCCTTTCTCCAGGAGGTCTAAATTTTGACCCAAGCTTACTTGGTCAATAGTACAGGGGGTGGTATCCAGTAAGTCAGGAAGGGGTAGCCCTTCACTATCCTCTGTGGCGGGGGCGCACACGGCGCCCACCTCCTCTGTTCTTTCAAAATATGGTTTGAGCATGTTCACATGGAAGGCTTTGGTCAGCCTTTCATCTGAGCATTTGCTCACGATGTAGGTAGTCTCGCTAACCTGTTCCACTACCTTAAAGGGTCCCTGCCAGGCTGCTTGCAGCTTGTCCTTTTTAACTGGCCTCAGAGCCAGTACCTTCTGCCCTAAGTCCAGCACTCTATCCTGGGCCCTCCTATCGTACCACTTTTTCTGGTCCTCCTGGGCCGCCTGCAGGTTCTCCCGAACTGATTCGGTGAGGGCCCGCAGACGGTCCCGGAACTCCAGGACATCTGTATTGCCCTCCCAGTGTTCCCGTACGAGCTCCAGTGGGCCCCGAACTTTTCTCCCGTACAGGAGTTCGAAGGGGGAAAACCCAGTGGAGGCCTGGGGCACCTCACGGTAGGCAAACAGAAGGTGGGGAAGGAATTTTTCCCAATTCTTGTGGGACTCTGTAAAAGTTTTTAGCATCTGTTTTAGAGTGCCATTGAAACGTTCACAGAGCCCGTTAGTCTGGGGATGATACGGGGCGCTGAACAGGGGTTGCACTCCACAGCTCTGCCACAGTTGTTGCGTCAGGGTAGCTGTGAACTGCGTCCCCCGATCGGAGAGTATCTCCTGCGGGAAACCTACTCGGGTGAATATCTGAATAAGGGCCTCTGCCACGGTCTCGGCCTCTATATTGGTGAGGGCGACTGCCTCCGGGTATCTAGTGGCGTAGTCGACCACCGTTAGGATAAACTTTTTGCCCGACGGGCTGGGGCGACTGAGGGGTCCTATTAAATCCACCGCTACTCGGTGGAAGGGCTGTTCGATGATGGGTAGGGGGTGCAGCTTAGCCTTCCGAAGGTCTCCCCTTTTCCCTACCCTTTGGCATACATCACATGTCCTGCAATAGTACTTAAGGTCCTGGGTGGCTCTGGGCCAGAAGAAGGTTTGAGTTAACCTGTCTCTGGTCTTTTTGACCCCTAAATGTCCTGCTAGGGGAATGTCATGACTGAGTTTTAACAACTCAGCCCGAAATTTACGGGGCACAACTAACTGTCTTTTTATGACCTGGGTAGCCCCCTGTCCCACCCCCTCGGTTACCCTATATAGCAACCCCTTATACCACTCAAATTTTTCGTGCGGGTTGTTCTCGGGGGTAGCGGCCGCGGCCTTCCTATAGCCTTCTAATGTGGGGTCAGTACGCTGTTCCTGTTCAAACCCCTGGGGGGTATCCCAGAAGGGTACGGGGGGATCGGGTAAGGGAGGTATTTCGAATCTTACCTGGTTTTCCTCAGAGTGCAGCGGAGCTTCCAGTCTGGCTTGAGCTCGGGTGGTAACCGGGTAGGCCTCGGCAGGGGGGTCTCGGGCTAGTTGAGAGGTTAGGCATCCCACATCATTTCCCAACAAAACCTCGGCGGGCAGTTCTTGCATAATCCCCACCTCCAGTTGTTTAGACCCGGAACCCCAATCAACAAGCATATTAGCGGTGGGCAGTTTGTGAATAGCGCCCCCAGCCACCCTTACAGCGACGGTGCGTCCGGTGCGAGCTTGTGCTCTGACCATGTGGGGCTGTACCACAGTCAAAGTAGCCCCAGAGTCTCTCAGCGCCCGGGCCCCCACGCCATCGACGGTAATCCATTGGCGGTGGTGGTCCCGGTTGTCCCCCCCAGCTTGTACTGGATTGACCTCATGTAATACGCTCCACTGTTCTTCGTGGTTAAGGGCAGGGCCTGTGTGTTCCTGTTGCACACAGTGAGCAGCTGCCCTGGGTTGTTGTGGGGCTGGCCGTTCCCAGCTTCCCCGGTTTAAGCGAGGGCACTGATACTTGTAATGTCCTGGTTGCTTGCAGTAGTGACACACTGCAGGAGGTCGAGGTGTGTTTGCTGGGTTCGGTGGGGGGTTACCTATGGCAGGTCTAGGTGGAGTCGGGTTTGTTGGAGCTGTGTACTGAGGCTTAAATGGTGGTCTGCTCGCCCCTTGCTCCTTCCTCCTGTTATCCTGGTACTCGTCCGCTAGCCTAGCGGCCTCCTCCACGGTTTTTGGTTTCCTATCTTTTACCCAGTCTTTTATGTCCTCTGCAGTATGATTAAAAAATTGCTCCAGTATCACTAGTTGCAAAGCTTCTTCTAGGGTGGTTGCCTGGCAGCCCTTCATCCAATTGCGGGCTGCCCGCTGCAGGCGAAAAGCCCATTCCGTATGGGAATCTCTCCCAGTCTTTCTCAGGTCTCTAAACTTTTTCCGGTATGCCTCCGGAGTTACCGCATATCTGGCCAACAAAATGTCTTTTATTTTCTCATAATTATGTATGTCCCCCTCAGGTACTGCTCGCAGCGCCTCGGCTGCTCTACCTGACAATTTACTGCTGAAGACTGCAGCCCATTTGGTGGAGTCTAATCCCTCCAGTGCACACTGACGTTCAAAGTCTTGCAAGTAACTGTCAATTTCCATTTCATTGTCAACAAATGATTTAAACGCTGCATAATTTACCTTCTTTGGTATTTCCCCAATACTTCTCGGGGAGTGTAGCAAATCCCCCTGTGACGATCTGTCCCGGTCATCTCGCTCTTTTTGCGCTTGTCTGGCTTGTGCTACGACCTGCAGTATTGCCTCTGAGGATGGATTGGGTCCCAATAAACTGAGTGTCCATCGGATGTCCTTTTGCATCACGGTTTCTTCCTCTTGATCCATCTCTATATTACTGGTATTATCGCTCTGCATTAACTCCGCAATTATCGTGGCTTTTGTTTTGTTACTTGCCACTCTGCCTCGAGCTTCCAGTAAGTCCTTTAGCGTGGTTCTTTTAAGTAGCTGGTACTGCTGAGCCATTCATTCCTTTGCTTGTTTTGAAATGTCCATTTGGGATTCGAATCCCTCCGCTTGCCACCAGTTGTAAGGAAATCAAGTATAGCTGAACCGCTTTGATAATTCCTCCTGCAATGCCAGCGTCTAAGGTAGTTCTAAGCAATGAAGTCCATAAGAAATATAACAGCTTCCCAAGATAATCCCCTTGGTAAAGCATACGAATTCCCAAATAACAGTCAGAGTCCAGAATCAGGATACAAGTAGATCTGAGGTCTGGAATCTCCAGCCTGCTTTTTATTAAGGTTACAGACAAGAAGTACACACCCAGGGGGAGGCATTAAATCACCAATCAGGTATAGGTTACAGCCCATACCTCCCTCCCCTCTGATAAACAGTTAACTTAATTAAAACGTGCACTATTTTACCCCAGTTCTGGATGTACCCCAAAACAGGGGGTACACCTTTAAATTGGGTACCGCTGGATAGTTCTCATTTGTGGGGACAACATATCAAAAAATCAGTCCATTCGGATGGATGGTTCGGGAGTTATGGAACACTAAAGTTTTGACCGACCGCACGGACCATCTAGCCGAAAATAGTTCCATAAGTTTTGGCCCTGCGGTCGGTCTCCGTTTAGGCGAATAAAAGAGACGAAAGCCCTGCCATCCATTCGCATCTTTGTGATCGTTGAAATCCCCATACGAAGTTGCATGTAACTACCGAACGGCCGGTGATTCGGTCGTTCCCGTGCGAAGTTCTGGATGTATGGAGGTCTCAGCGGTGTTCGCCTGTTTGCGTATCCGATTTTAGTTCCACGCGTTGACGGGCAAACACCGCTGTTCGCACGTAAAATGGCCGCGGCCACGTGTAAAGTGCCGAAATGGCGGCCACCTATATTTTACACAGGGAATTCGCCTGAATCCATCCGAAGGGTAGAAATGAAAGCTATATGCCGAATTCCAGCTGAGTTTGGTGAATTAACTGTACAACAAAATGTAGAAATCCTGATTAACGGAGTCATTTCTTCACAGGGAATATGTGGAACATTAGATACAGGTATTGGTGAGCAGCGATCATTAGGGAGAGGTTTTTTTACGGACCTGAAGGTGATCTAAAAATTGCTGTGAATGAATTATGACCTTAAATAAATGTATGTATTTAATAATACACTTTGCAAGCTTTGATAGTTAACCCTTCCTACACAAGCAGACCTATCTTTGAAATTAACGTTCTTCTTATTTATTCTGAATAAATTGCTTATCAAACACCCCATCTAATATGCTCTCTGTGTGATTAAAATAATGAGGCATTTTCACTATACAAACTACACTGCACTTCGGAGGATTATACTAATTAACAAACTGAAAACCCCTGAAAGGTACAGTTAGGCCTCTGGACTGATTCATAAGCAGTTAGGGGCCAGATCCCTCCCTCGGACCAAATGAATTAGAGAAGATGCTGTAAGTAGCCACAAATTAGCTTTTCCCCCCAACTAATTTAAGTTGCAAGTAATATCCATTCTTTGTCAGAATTCCCAGCACCTTTTGACATGACACTTTCTGTCATGTGAGAATAAAATTGTGAGTTGTAGCTTTGATTTTCTGTTCTTTGTGTCAAATTATGACAGCTTTTGTCACATAAAGAACAGACGTGAATGTCTGAGGTTTTGAAAAGAGGCGTTTTATGGTTCAATGCCTGCGAATTTCAGTAAAGCGCCAATTCCATGTTTACAGTTATGAGTTCCATGGGGATGTACAATACGCCGCTCAGAGGCCTAAACAATCACCTCACCCCCATAAAACACTATATGCACGTTGTCATTCATCTATTATAAATAAGTATTTGCATTTACTATCTGTGATGAATGGAACGTGAGTGTCCTCAGATAAGAAATGTACAGTCACAGAGAAGATGATCTATGTTATCCACCAGTTAATGAGATAATAAATATTCACATCTATACACATCTTTATTCTACACAGTTATGTGCCGTTATGCCTAATAATATTTTGGAATAATAAAATAGCATTTTAGAGATCTTGTAAGACTCTTGATATACTTAAACCAGGACAATGATTGACCGCTTTATTTCATATGATAACCTGTGTGAATGAGATTTGCTGGCTAGCATGACAGGTAAATAACGGGTCTTCTATGATAATCCCAATAATTATAAGGACTCAATCATGCATACCACAACACTATATTGTTTGCAATTTACTGATAAATATATCTTTAGTTTGTGATAGTTGACTGGCCAGCAAATGCTTAAAATAGCAGGCACAGTGGGGAGCAGTGAGTGTACCATAATGCAGATTTGTATGATGATTCCTCTCCCTCGACAAAAGGGGACATCAAGAGACTGCTTGTGGATCTTCGACAGGTCTGGAAGGCAGACTTTCAAGAAGCTCAAGCCGAAAAGGGCATCCTACATCAGAAGGTGCCTGCTGTGGAGGAGAGGGAGAAGACACAAGACAGTGAGCTACAGAACACAAAACACCAAAGGAGGGTCTTAGCGTACAGGTCAAACAGCTGCACAAGATAGTGACCTACCTAAAAATCCCGCCATCGGACCATATGCTTACAGGTTTAGGAACCGCCCTCACTGAAGGAGGGACAACCAGAGAAGATACGTTACAAGAGAGGGGAGACTCAGACAAAGGAGACCCACACCGCAAATCGACTCAGCAGAGTCTAACCAGCCTCTAACACCAAAAACATTATCAGATTTTTAATTAAAATTTTTGTTTCAATTTTGATTTTGCTGATGAGACTGTTGTCTCCTTTTCGGTGGCTGTGGGAATGAGTTTATGTCCTGGAGTATGCTACCGGTATGCACCTGCCAACCATCCGAAGTGCGCTATATGGGCTAAAGTTTGAAATGCAAATATGCCTTGAGATTCGAGGCTGCTTTTATGTTTATTTTCTTATATTTTTTGATTAGAATGGAAATTGTTGCATTGCTTCCAGTCTTGAAATAATCTTGACCTGTTTATTCCTTTTGGATATATTTTGGCACATTTGTATGCTATTTGTACAAATCCTAATAAAAAACACATTAATAAAAAATACAAAAATAGCAGATAGAGCGAAGAAGATGTTACTATTACAAGATTCAGGTCCAGCTGGAGTCTCATAGTAGCCATATAGAAATTCTATGCGAATGTTACCCATGTATCTTACACAATGTTCTTTGCAATCTGTACTAGAAGCAGAGGATTCTGGGATGAATTATAGAGGATGCTGGGTAAAGTTAAGCTGTACCTAGAATTTGTCTACAGTTACTCTATAGACCAGACAGTAAAACAAGATTCTGCCTTGAAATTCATCACAGAATCTCTTTAAAGTTTTGCCTATGGTACGTGTATACAAGCTGCCTTAAAGGTAATGTAACCTAAGCAGCGTTTAACATGGGTAGGTGTTGACAAATACACTGGTTCGTCATCTCCATATAGCCATGTATACAAACATAATTTTCCTCATATAGCAGAAAAACCGAGAATCTACCAATTAGCTCACACGTTAGACACCTCTTTTTGGTGTGTTAATAGAAATGTTGTCACACAATGTATAGAATAGATTTTGTATGTTCTGCACACATTGGGTTTATTTATTACCTTGGGTTAACTGAAACAAAATTGCAAATTTTGCTCCAAAACAGCTTAATTGGATTTTTGTTTTGAATTCACAATTTAGTATAAAAAGAAAAAAGTACTGTTTTCATTAACTCCTTTTCAAGAGATCCATTAAAAATATATAAATGCTGCTAAACAGACTTCATAGAAAACTAGTTTTTTTGTTATTGCGCTGGAATACTCATATTAACATCTATATTGAAGACACCTCTTGGCAGTTAGACTAGCTGCTATCACTTTAATTCGCCTTGTTACGTGGGAGTATACAAACTATTAATTTGTGATGTACAGTGACCTTTTTAAAGGCACACTCACAGAAGGGTTAGTTACCTATAATCCTCCAGCCCAGTTGTCCAGAAATATATTAAAAATGAAGCTTACAGTAAAATGTTCTATTTTACTGAAAAGAATTGAGCTTCAATTTGCTACAGTTCACTTGTGTCTGTTGTAATTATTTAGCTTACATTGGCCTTAATTGAATATTTTTGTATAAACTTTTCAAATGACCACATTTGGGATGTTCAAGGGCATTTCCGCCCATTCAGTGGAAAGTTGGTTCACAAGTATCTGCTACAAATCTGTGCCCCACCTGCCCTTCTAAATATTCCGGCTATATACTTTCTTAATGTTGAGAGGTGTGCCCACCCTGAGAGTAGAAATTAACTTCATGGCTACCTTAAGGTTAGTTATCACTCAACGGGTGTGAAAAGTTGTAGCCAACTTGTGTCATCTCAAAAAGAATCTTTAGTAATTGTATATCAGGCAGTCAAGTTGCATCCCCTTTGTATAAACAATACTATATTGCGTATATTAACTTCAAAATATCTATCAATGTAGGCTACAGCCCCTAATATAAAGAGCAATTTATTAAGTATAAAAGTATTGATCACAATACAAAGCAAGATCACAGTACAAAGCAAGTCCACAATATAGTACATTACCAAACTGGCAAGGCAAGAGTGCAAACCTCCATGTAATACAATGTCTCCAGTGATCAAGAATCCTTAGGCCTTTTGTGCATATATCAGATACAGAATCAAGTTTCTTTTGTCTGTACTATGATAAGCTGTCGTTACTTATAATGCATCGGCAGTCTATAATATCCCACATTAATATCATCTTTGATAACAGGATTGTTTTAAAAATCAGGACTGCGAGTTTGGTACCTTTGCCTGTCCTGACAAATCTAAAAAAAAAAAACACTGTATAGGATTCTAATGCCTTTTGCAGTTTTACATACATATGAGATTTCAAGATTTCAGTCATACAGGGAGTGCAGAATTATTAGGCAAATGAGTATTTTGACCACATCATCCTCTTTATGCATGTTGTCTTACTCCAAGCTGTATAGGCTCGAAAGCCTACTACCAATTAAGCATATTAGGTGATGTGCATCTCTGTAATGAGAAGGGGTGTGGTCTAATGACATCAACACCCTATATCAGGTGTGCATAATTATTAGGCAACTTCCTTTCCTTTGGCAAAATGGGTCAAAAGAAGGACTTGACAGGCTCAGAAAAGTCAAAAATAGAGAGATATCTTGCAGAGGGATGCAGCACTCTTAAAATTGCAAAGCTTCTGAAGCGTGATCATCGAACAATCAAGCGTTTCATTCAAAATAGTCAACAGGGTCGCAAGAAGCGTGTGGAAAAACCAAGGCGCAAAATAACTGCCCATGAACTGAGAAAAGTCAAGCGTGCAGCTGCCACGATGCCACTTGCCACCAGTTTGGCCATATTTCAGAGCTGCAACATCACTGGAGTGCCCAAAAGCACAAGGTGTGCAATACTCAGAGACATGGCCAAGGTAAGAAAGGCTGAAAGACGACCACCACTGAACAAGACACACAAGCTGAAACGTCAAGACTGGGCCAAGAAATATCTCAAGACTGATTTTTCTAAGGTTTTATGGACTGATGAAATGAGAGTGAGTCTTGATGGGCCAGATGGATGGGCCCGTGGCTGGATTGGTAAAGGGCAGAGAGCTCCAGTCCGACTCAGACGCCAGCAAGGTGGAGGTGGAGTACTGGTTTGGGCTGGTATCATCAAAGATGAGCTTGTGGGGCCTTTTCGGGTTGAGGATGGAGTCAAGCTCAACTCCCAGTCCTACTGCCAGTTCCTGGAAGACACCTTCTTCAAGCAGTGGTACAGGAAGAAGTCTGCATCCTTCAAGAAAAACATGATTTTCATGCAGGACAATGCTCCATCACACGCGTCCAAGTACTCCACAGCGTGGCTGGCAAGAAAGGGTATAAAAGAAGAAAATCTAATGACATGGCCTCCTTGTTCACCTGATCTGAACCCCATTGAGAACCTGTGGTCCATCATCAAATGTGAGATTTACAAGGAGGGAAAACAGTACACCTCTCTGAACAGTGTCTGGGAGGCTGTGGTTGCTGCTGCACGCAATGTTGATGGTGAACAGATCAAAACACTGACAGAATCCATGGATGGCAGGCTTTTGAGTGTCCTTGCAAAGAAAGGTGGCTATATTGGTCACTGATTTGTTTTTGTTTTGTTTTTGAATGTCAGAAATGTATATTTGTGAATGTTGAGATGTTATATTGGTTTCACTGGTAATAATAAATAATTGAAATGGGTATATATTTGTTTTTTGTTAAGTTGCCTAATAATTATGCACAGTAATAGTCACCTGCACACACAGATATCCCCCTAACATAGCTATAACTAAAAACAAACTAAAAACTACTTCCAAAAATATTCAGCTTTGATATTAATGAGTTTTTTGGGTTCATTGAGAACATGGTTGTTGTTCAATAATAAAATTAATCCTCAAAAATACAACTTGCCTAATAATTCTGCACTCCCTGTAGTGTTTGAGAAACAGAACAGGTAAATTTAAGAATATTTAGCTTATTTTTAATTACCCAAGTCTACCAGCAGATCCTGTGTCATAGATGTTAAAGGAACACTGTAGGGTTTAGAAACACAAACATATTTCTGACCCTATAGTGTTAAAAACACCCTCTAGCCCCCTTCCCCCCTTGCACCCCTAAGTAAAATCTTACTTGTACTCAAGTATGCAGCTACTGCCTCTGTCCCTGATCTGCCTGATTAGCTGTCATCATCAGAAGTGATTCTCTGGGCCAGTCACAATGCTTCTCTATAGGATTGGCTGAGACTCTAAAGGAGATCAGGGACAGAGCCAGCATAAGCTAAACACAGCCCTAGCCAAATAGCATTTCCTCATAGAGATGCATTGAATTAATGCATCTCTATGAGCAAAGTTCAGTGTCTCCATGCAGAGGGTGGAGACACTGAATGGCAGAGCTGCACAGTGTGCAGCACTGCCCCAGGAAGCACTTCTAGCAGCTATCTGAGGAGTGGCCAGTGGAGTTTTCTCTGAAAAGAAATTGCTTACTGCAAAAAGCCTGAAGGGAATGATCCTACTAACCAGAACAAATACAATAAGCTATAGTTGTTCAGGTGACTATAATGTCCCTTTAAGGTGTTTTATTTCGTTTTTATAATATATAACTACTAATTCCCCTTTAATGTCTGTATGCCACTTCTAAATTATTATCATAATAAATATTAACCATCATGGCTTTGTGATCAATATCGCATTGTGCTTTAAATGTAATAAAATCATATCATGCCTTAACAGATTTGAAATAAATTTACCCGGTAAGTCATAGAATATCAATAAGTGAGCAGTAGTAAACAAAGCTGAGATTAGTTATGTGTACAGGGCTAGATATTGAGTGTCTTTATACATAAATGAACTATTTATATGTTGACAGATCCCAAGGTAATCCAAAGCAGTTAAATTGACCTGTGGCAGTGTATCATTTTTTCCTATAAAAAACTATGTATAAGATACAATTTATCTGATTAATCTGCTCTTGAATTTAACTCCAGTATTGATTCTCTTGGCCACGTGCCGCCTTCTCTCTCGTGTCCTGTTCTAAGGAAACCTTTGTTAGTTTGTCATTTTCTCGTTATTTGTAGCATTGGCCAAACACCAAATTTCTTCTGTACGATTTATCTTAAGAACATCTGTTCGGCAACACCCCGAGCTCCAGCGAACCTCTCATGTCAGTTTCATCATTTATGCCAAGCTGAGAAAAATCTGGTGCTTTTTATACAGGAACCAATCGATAAGGAATTTATTTTCTCTGTCAAGATCACACAGCCTTAGTTAGACATTAGATAAATGATGGCAGTTTTAACTTTCATGCTTTTTCCAAAGTGGCTGATTTTATTTCTACAAATAATTTTGTAACTAAAATATTTTCTACCTTCCAATTTATTATATGCATAACTTTAAAACTATGACTTGGTTCTCACTGCGGTGCTCCTAAGCGGACAATAAGCACACTACAGCTCACGCGCCTGCCTGCTCCGCCAATCTGTGTCATCCAGGCTAGATTAAAATTAATTTGGTAACACAGATTAAACCCAATTAAGACAAGAAAAACGTCACTGCAGGTTCTGCTTGGGTCTAACAGACTCACTGGGACTCCTTTTGGTCCTGCTGTAGTTCCCAGGTTGGCCCCTGATCCATTGCCTGGAACGCTACTTGAATGGAACATTACCTGAGAAAATAGTTGTTCTTGTGGGTGAGGACCAGTGTGGGAGCAAAGGTGAAGGGAAGGTGTATGTATATCATTGGGTGAATAGTGCATCGCTATGCAAAAAGGTATTTATGCATATTGTTCATACTAAAACATGTCACCTTATGTGATTTGCTGTGAGTGTCACAAAGAAAGCCTATTTAAAATCTACAAGCCAGTTTTACACATCTCTTAGTTTCTCGAGTAGGCTCATAAAAGACCCATTCCCTGCCAGTATCTCAGATCTGCTGCCTCCCAGGGACCACCTGACAATCCGAAAGCTCACAGACTGTGTTTATGGGGATTCTTGCAAATACTAACTAATGTTTTATGAGTCCTTCTAATGGACAACCTGCTTTTATAGCTCAGCTTGATTTTGCTTATATGTAACAATGGCTTTTATTGAGCTAACCCACACGCAGAAGTCAAAGCAATAAGAACAAAATATTGCGTTAATAGTATAGACCAGGGGTAGGCAACCTATGGCACTAGTGCTATGCACGGCACTCGAGGTGCCTTTGCACGGCACTCAAGGCTGCTAGAGCCAAACATGCTCTATACTATCAGGAGTCCCAGTAAAACTTCAGATATCTGCTAATACGAAGAGGTGGTGAAGGACAATCCTCAATTTATGCATTGCAGCACTTAGAGGAAGTGATCTCAGAGCACTTCATTCCAGCACTTGTGAATGGGAATCCACAATGTAGTAGAGCAGCTCGCAGTTGCTGTTGCAGCTCCTGTCCTTGACCTGTATCTGGCCGGCCTGGTCCCCACTGGAACCCAGGGAAGCCACCCACACTGCTAGATATACACAGAAATGCAGAATAACCCTCCCCTCATACAAATAATACGGACAGCCCACACACAAACATACACAGATTCCGCTTAAACGCAACACCACTAACAATCCACATACATGCACACAACCCCACATGCAGCCTATCACATGCAATACCCCAAACAGCCCCCACACACTACCAAACACACAATGTGACATATCCATCCACACACACAATTCCATAAGCAGCTCCCATACACAGCCCACATTCATATGTATCATACACAATACCACAAACTACTCATGAACATATATAATAATATAATAGCTCATATACGCACAAATACAACAATACAAAGCAATTACAGTAAAAATAACACAAGCAGAATACGGCAGCAAACACACTTCAATTTAAAAAAAAAATAGGACCAGCACGCTACGGGACATCACAATCCTATATTGGCACAGTGCTGCTAAAAGGTTGCCTACCCCTGGTATAGACGCACAGAATGCATAGGAAAACTCTTGTTATCAGTCATACGTAACCTCTTCTCCTACGGAACTAAATACAGGATTTCTGCAAGCACAGTGTGTTCAAACAATGTGTTCTGTAGCATTTCGTTACATGTCATTTGTCAACAATATATATATGCAATGGAGAGCACCTTAGTAGGAAGCATGGTTAGTATTCACAGGGTCATTTGGATCATATTAGTGGTAAGAAAACTCAAAGCAGGACTGACCAAAGGCAGATCCCCAGATGTTGTATAACTACATTCCCCGTGATGCTTTGCCATCCATAAATCTGCTAGGGACCAACCTTTGGCTGACCATACAATGCAGAAACATTTGGAGTTTAATTTACCAACCTTCTTATTTTATATAGAGATGCAAAGGATAGAGTTTGCAACTGGACACTTTTATCTTGTCTGTCAGTAAACTCTATCCTTTGCAACTGGGCACCTCCATCTTGACTCCCTTTCAATAAACTCAACCCTTTGCAACTGGACACCTCCATCTTGGCTCCATGTCAATAAACTCTATCCTTTGCAACTGGGCACCTCCATCTTGGCTCCATGTCAATAAACTCTATCCTTTGCAACTGGGCACCTCCATCTTGGCTCCATGTCAATAAACTCTATCCTTTGCTACTGGGCGCTTTTATCTTGGCTGTCAGTAAAGAATAGAGTTTATTGACATGCAGCCAAGATAAAGCACCCAGTTGCAAAGGATAGAGTTTATTGACATGGAGCCAAGATGGAGGTGCCTAGTTGCAGGATTACGTTGTTGACTTTTACATTTCATTTTATTTTTCACACCTTACATATACAGAACAGCTGGCGTGGGCCTTAGTTGGCGTTATGTGTTTAGCCTAACATTCTGTGATCTGTATTGTTACTATATCTCAAATTAAAATACTTAAAAAATGCCGGTCCTCAAGCTAATTACTGATATTTGTTCCTTCTTTCCATCCTTCCTCATTGTAGGTCAGGCAGCTGAGAGCTCACCAAGAAGAAGCTTCTAGATTAGAATCTTCTATAGCAGCCCGGAAAAAAGAACTAGCAGAACAACAAGAGAGACAACAAAACGAGAGAGAAAAGCTTCACAGAGCAGATAACAAAACAAAGGTACGGCCCTTTCACTAGCCTGAATCTGGTATTTAGGATATTGCACAAATTATCTGCGTGTTTTCTAATTAAAGCTATTTCTTCACACTGACAGTATATTAAATAATTGTGTTTATTCTGCATTTCTTTTTCTTTCGTTTAAAACCAACATTGCTTCAAAGGAACTTAATCTGACCTAGTGCACAGCTCTTTGAATGGAACTGATTCTGAATTATGTTATAAATATGTGTATTGCAGCAATACTATCGAGGCAGTGGGGATTCTCGCAGTGCTGCAGTGATACACCCTGCATTGCAGTCAATTTCAGTCACAATTCAGGAACTGCATTTCACAGCAAAAGTAGAATGAGTTTTGTATTCCGTTAGTTCTGTAAACCAAAGGAACTGCTTTCTGGACTAATCCAAAAAAGTCAAAAATGTCGATATGAAAAACTGTTTCTTTAGAGGAAAAAAAAGCACATCCTAAATCAGTAAGCAACTTTAGGTGCTGACTGGTTGACAGCCGCTAGAGACTTGTTTTCTGCAAAATGTAAAAGTTGCCATTTCTCAGAAACAGCTAAGGTTAGCATTGAAAATATACTCTTCTTAGCCATCAATCAAGTGACACAGCAGTAATTCTGATAGCAATTCTAATAGTACTCGCAGGAAGTGAAGCCCATACTTTTAATACTCCACATGTTAGCAGGATCCGTAACTATAGATTAAATGGGTATTTACACCATTGATACACATTATCAGATGCAGTGACAAAGCCAACCAAATACTTGTTTAGTCTCCCTGTGTTGATATGAAGGACAATTTTAATAGACAATGTGCTTTTGAGAGTTAGAATGTGGTAGTAATTTTTATTGTACGGTAATTAATATAATTTTTATACTAATATAATGTAATTATTTTAATTAGTCAGGCCTAAATATTTAAGGCGTCTATGACATATACCACCACGTCTGTGTGTTGAAATGGTGTCTAGAATGTTCTTTTCTTCCTGCTAGATCTTCCCCTGTCTAATATCTCCCTTAGTGTTAAGTGACATTGAACGCGTACAGTGCTGTGTTATAAAGTGTTTCTGCTAAGCTGAAGATGAGCAATTCGACTGAAAGAGGAAACAAGCTTTGTCAAATATAATAACCCATTCATGCATATCAGCGCTTACTAGAAAGATTGCGTTTTAGGCTTTTTTACTTTAACTCTCATCTCACGCACATAGGCATATATTAACTTTGACTTTCTGCTTTGCCTCACACAACAGATTCAAAAATACAAAGCTGGAAAACAAAAAGCGTGGGCGGAACAACAGCAGAGGGATATCGAACGCCTGGAGAAGCTGAAGGAAATGATGGCGCAGAGAGCTCAGAGAGACAGAGAACGGTAGCTACATCTATTTTTTAAATATAATGTGTTAGACAGGCATAATGGGCTTTATTTCCAATTTTGCCATCAGTTTTGTTACTGCTGACCTTTAGCTGCTGTTTGTAGGTGGGGATGTGACACGCGGGCCACACATTCCTCCTAAACACCGCTGAGTTTAACTGCAGATCTGTCTACCGGGGGTTGATTAACTAAACAGGGAATATGAAGTAAAATTAATACGTTCTAGAATTATTAACAACTCCGCCATTTTGGCTCTGATATTGAAATTTGGTTTTTAACTCCCCACAGTTTACTGTTTAGGGAATAAACCTACAAGCCTTTTTTTAATAGGTACTGACATTTATTTTTATGTATATATTTAATTAATTTTAGTAAATACTAGCACAAATGTACAAATTACATGTATGCTCACTTAAAGATAAATTTGTCATTAACACATTATGTGCGTGACGGATCGACATCTAATAAGCTAATACTTCCTGAGATTCTGAGATTGTGATTGTTGGCACCCAAGATCATATATGGAAAGACTCAATTCCCATGGATTTATATATGGTATATGTGCAATTCAGAATTATGGTAATCTCAAGCACACAATATATTTTCCAAAGAACTGGATCAGTGGATTTTAAAAGCATTTGCTTTGAGTTTATTGTTGGACTCTTTCAGCTGGCCACTTATCCAGAATTTTAGTTTTGTACATGGTTATAAGGGGAGCAGGGCCCCCACCAGAAATTTTGGGGCCCCTAACTCAGCTCAGGGTCTGGGCCCCTTGGGGCCCGCCTCCAATCCTGCCCACAGGGTCCGCCTCCAAATACCACCCACAGGAATACACACACAGACACAAACACACACTGATACAAAAGGACACAGATACATACTAACAGACACACATACTGAAACAGACATACACGCATACAGGCATACATACTGACACACAAACTGAGACATACACACATATACAGACACACAGGCATACTGAGACATACACACATATACAGACACACAGGCATACTGAGACATACACACATATACAGACAGACACATACTAACATGCATACAGACACACATGCATGAAGACATAAAGACACAGACAGACACACTGACATACATACAGACACCGACATACATACACACACACATACATACATACATACAGACATACATACATTCATACTGGCATACATACATATATATATATATATATATATATATATATATACAGACATACTGACATCCATACACACATACATTCATAATGGCATACAGACATACATACATGCATATATACAGACATACTGACAGACATACATACATGCATATAGACATCCTTACACACATACACACAGACATACGTTCATAATGATATGCAGACATACATTCATACTGACATACAGACATACATATATACATACATACATGCATACATATATACATACATATATACAGACATACAGACATATACATACTGACAGACATACATAATGACATACAGACATACATTGATACTGGCATACATACATATATACATACAGACAGACATACAGACATATATACATACATACTGACAGACATACAGACATATATACATACATACAGACAAACATAATGACATACATTGATACTTGCATACATACAGACATACATTCATACATTCATAATGACATACATAATAACATACATACTGACAGACATACAGACATGCATACATACAGACATACATATATACGTACATACAGACAGACATGCATACATTCATACAGACACACACACACACAGCTCATTTTCCAGCCACCCCCTGTTTCTTACCTGCTTTTTTTTTTTTTTTTTTTTTTTTTAAAGGGGCCCGGCTGTGTTATACCACGGCCACAGCGCTGACCGGGCCCCTGAAGATATAGGGCCCATTGGGTGACCCTAAGTGCGTGGGCCACCTGATAGGCCTCATCAGCGTGCGGGCCCCGGTGGAACTGCACCGGCGGCAGTTCCGCCGCTACACCTGGGGCCCGGGCCTGGGTGTCACCCCCTGATGGCGGCCCTGAAAGGGAGAATTATTTGTTATGGATCCTATTTAACATATTGTATGTTGAAATCACATTGATTAAAAATAATATTTTCTTAAATAATGTATATTAATTGAATTTTAATCTTGTTTAACAGAACTCAATGTAAATATACAGAGGTTTCTTCAGTAAGATGGTTCTAGTGCAAATGGGCTTAATTTGTTCTCAGACAATAGCCTCAAGAGTCTCAGCTTGACCAGGCACTTTGGCTAAACTCACACCAATTCTCCCACTAGATCCAGTAGAGTTCCCATGGCAGTGAAAGGATCAATAGAGGAATTCTGTTGGAACTAACTCCAACTCTTTGTTCAAGGCCCCATAGAGGCTAACAAGAATTGTTTTGACAATCAGACTTCTATTGAGTTTTGAAAAGAACGTAAGAAATAAAAATTCACAAAGTCAGTAGAATCATGGAGAGTAACATTGACATCTGAGGGAACACATGTGGCTCTTTTGCAAGTACATTTAAACAATATAGTAAAGCGTAAGTAGGGACTACTCATTAACAATGTCAAGTAGGCAAACTCGTGCTAAGCATCGAAGTGACTAACTTATTTCCCTTCTGAGATGGGAGGAGAGGTGAGACCTCACATATCCAGGCACCCAACGTGGAACTGGGATTACCTAGGGTCATTGGAGAGCAGCCAGCCAACGAGAACTTAAATAACATATTTTTACCTGGCATTAAGGCCTTGCGAATGAGTTAGTACCCCAGACGACTCTATGGTCCCCCCCACCTGATCAATGGATAGTGAGTTCCAAGAGTCCATCGTCCAGAAGTATATGCCAATGACAGAAACCCAAAGCATTACCGTAGAACTAAGTCTGTAGTCTGGTTTATCTGGTCCCATTAATAAGGACTTAAGTCAAGGCAGCTGACTTGCTTGCAATGTCCTTAATTCCACCTGCCCTGGAGTCCACTTAAAGGACCACTATAGGCACCCAGACCACTTCAGAGAAACAGCTATGTTTACACTGCAGGGTTAATCCAGCCTCTAGTGTCTGTCTCCCTGACAGCCACTGGAGGCCGCTTCCGTGATTTACACGGAGTAAATCGCACTTATTTGACGTTGGATGTCCTCCAGTATCAGAAAAGAGCCCCATAGGAAAGCATTGAGTAATGCTTTTCTATGGGCGGGTTTGAATGTGCGCGCGCCTCTGGCTGCGCATGCGCATTCGGCTCCACTCGGGAGCTGACATCGATGGCGGAGGAGAGATCACTAGTTCTGAGGGAGCCCGGCACTGGATTAGGTAAGCAAATAAATGGTTACTTAACCATTTATTTGCCGCGGACCAGGGCCCTAGTCACCATTTAGGTGACTAGGGCTCTATAGCGTTAAGAATACATAATTGTATTCCTAACGCTATAGTGTTCCTTTAAAGTGAGCACATTGTAAGCTAATGAGTTGTGAGCACTGTATTGTATTCTACTATATAAGCCACATCGACTTTCTCAAACATTGAGAGCAGCTTCATTCATTGTAAAGAGTCCATAAAAACCTAACGTAGTGATTATGTTTCAGGGTTGTATTTAGACAGCAGGTGTTGGAGCAGCGTCTTTCAGAAAGGAAAGAAATGGCTCGTCTAGAGGAGCAGGAAGAGGAAGAAAGACAGAGAAGGCTCGATGTTCTCCGACAACAGGTACAGAGTGTTATGCAACGTGTCTTCTCTATTGTCCAGGTCTAGATGTAGTATCGTATGAAGATAGTTCTAGAACTTGCATCCCAGCATTCGATATGGTCATCATGTCCCCAATTTTACCTCTGCCTGTACAGTGACTTTGTGACTTATTTATTCCTGTCCTTTTAATATTCCATTTACTGACATCCAGCATCTGTCACACATGCATTCCCTTCTGGCGTTCAGAGGGTTAAAGTGTCTCTTTGGTTGTTGTGGTTGTAATCTGAAGGTCCTATTTTACTTTTGTGTTTTGCTTTTTAAGATTAATATTCTATTTTCCTCCAATATATTTTGCCAGGTTGCTGTAATAGCAGAATTTGACCCTGTGAGAATGATGAGTGACACCAAAGCATTTAAAGCTAGGATGGGTATAGGAACAGAGGAAGAGGTGGTTCTACAGAAACCCCTGTTTACAATACATACTTACAATTCACAGCAGGTAAGTATCTTTAATTATTGTTTCAAACAAGGAAAAGCTTTGAAAGTCACTTTAAGATGTGCAGCATTAGAGGGGAGAATTTACTGAGGCCCTGGTAGACGTGGAACCTAATCTTGTTATCTTGTGAAGCACAGGTCACCTGACACTTCTCTTTCAAGAGACTATTATGCTCACAATCCTAAACTCAGCACTATATTCTAAAACAGCACATGTTCCACATGATGGTCATCTCTGCATGATATGAAGTCTAGGTGATATGGGACCATCATGTTGTTTTCAGACTACAACTCTCATAATTAACAGCCACCCAGAGGAGTTGTAATCCAACAACATCTGGTCGGGATGCAGACTATTAAGTTAAGGCATCCATACTTGACCTTAGCACTGTTACTGGACTACTTTTCCTAGAATCCTCTCCTCTAGTTCCTGGTTGTTTTACCCCTTCATATGACCCAAAGCTTTTTAACACTTTGCAAAGCAATATAATCATTCAACCTGCATTTATTTTAGTAGAAAACTTGTAAGTTTAGTCTGCTGGGTCAAACTACTAAGTTAATTTCTTACTAAATTACAGTAGCGTTATAAGCATCTATAACTGTGACAACTATCTGGTACTTTGAACATTGCTTGTCCCAAGCGATGGCCAAACATCATGGATAATGTAGTTCAGAAATATCTGGTGTGACAAGGTTAGCGATCACCGGTCTATGAAGGAATCCGTGATAACACTGAAATATCCATTAACAACAAATATTTCATGAGAAAAAATAATTGATGTTTGTTACAAAAAGTTACAATAACACAATTTACTTTGCTGTGCTGTATATTATAATACTTTTTCTCAATCTGCGCTATAAAACGTTGCAATGGACAGTTAGTCTATACATGGCTGATTTATATTAAATTTGAAAGTAATGATTTTCTTTTCAGTGTATGTTGATAGACAGCTTGCATATTGCTGCAGCAATCCACCGAGATTTGCATAACAACCAAACCTATACTCCTGGGTATTCATTAAGATATCCTGATGAATATGTCTTTTTCTGGCACATCTAAGCTCATAATTGTGGACAGGCCTGAACGCACCGTGCATATTCTCTTCTCGGCCATAATTTCATCAGTCAGTTTCGTGAATTGCAAATTCGTAGCGCTCTGTGATATGTACAGACTTAACCTACAGCGAGCGGTCAGCTGAGAATTTGGGTTCACTGGTCTCCTGCTGCCACAACTTAGATTCAACTTGCAATCCACTAAGTTGTCAGTTTCCTTTTCCCAAGTTTTTATTTAAATTGGTTTCCGCTTAAATAAACCTACATAAATGTAGTTATTCTTTTAGAACTGGTCTTGTTTATAATATAAAACTCTATATTGGTTTCCTAAAGGGTTACTACAGCCATAAACCGTTTTTTTAAATTAAAATATTGGTTTTGGTTGTTGTAACCCTTCAATCCTTGATGGCATGGCCCCCCTCTCTCTGTAATCCCTATCCCCTCCTCCCCCAAAAAATAAAGGATAAACGTACCTTAGTTCCTACGCCAAAGTCACGTTCTTTCTACAGCCCGTACCTCCTCCAGGGACATCAGTTCTCCTTACTAGAGAAGGAGGGATGTCCAAGAGGATGGGTTAAGTGGAGCCCTTAGCAGCTAATGAGGGGAAGCAAGTGTAATGCCATTGGTTTTTAGTCACAAGCATACTGCGCATGTTGATGACAATTGTCCAATATGTACAAAGTTGACATTAGCCAGCCCAGAACTAGCATCCCAGGCTGGTTAATGACACTGCAAGAGGTGGAGCTAATTCTTAAGCAACAAATGGCTTTAACACTGCTTCTATAATATGGTACGAGTCTTTCGTCTCATGATTCTGTGCTCATACATGTTCTCAGAACTCTACTCATCCAGCTATTCATTTGAATTACATTGTATGCACCAAATATCGTGATTGTCTTGCAATTTATATCAATTTACAAATACAACTTTTTGTTTTTCCAAAGATATGTCCACTTTAAACTTAATAGGGACTAAATTAAGGAGTTTGAATCAATGCCTTGGGTGTGTTTTTGAGAACATATTTTTATATATGAATAAAAGTATACATGTTTGAAAGTTCACTTTAAAGAATTGTTTGCACAGCAGAGAAATGCTTAGGAATCTGAATAATGTATATAATCACACAAGAAGTACAGGATGAGATCCTATTATATGTCTACATTTTTTAAAATATGATGCTCAAAGTGCATTTTTTTATTTTTTTTGTCATTTTGGTAGATCATCTCTGACCCAAGAGTTCGAATAGAGATGGCGCTGCGAGAAGCCGGTCTTCACAACACACTCTATGCTAAAGAAATTCTGCCGAAAATATCTCCCCCTAAACCTCCAAGAAAAGATATGAAGTCCACAGTTTTTGAAAAATAATAAATTCCATTTATGCTTGAAAGCTTCTTTTTATTGTTTCATAACACTAAAATGTCTTTTTTTTTTTTTTATAGTTGTATAAATATAGGGCATGTGCTACCTTTTATTTTTTTAAGGGCATCTCTTCCTGGTGTGCATCAGAATGTTAATTGACTTTCCCTTCTGTGGAGTTCTTAAAGGAACACTACAGCGTCGGGAATATAAACATGTATACCAAATGCTACAGTGACCTGCTCACTGGTTAGGGTACCACACCCTCCACCTTCACCGTGGGAAGTAGAAAGGTAGTTAACTTCTCTCTGCTGCCTGCTTCTCCCCCAGGGCTGAGCTCATCAGTCTTGATGATCTTAGCCAATCCAATGTTTCCTGTAGGAGAGCTTTGGCAGGCTAGTGTGCATGCATGGGAAAATGCAGCGCTGAGCCAATCAAGTTACCTCTATGAGACCATCTGATTAAATAGCCAAGTTTAACTCATCTATTAGGGTGGAAGCACCTCTAGTGGCTGTCTTTGTGACAGCCACTAACGGTATGTTAACTCTGCAATGTAAATATTGCCGTTCCTGCAAATGGTAATGTTTTCAATAGCAAGAATAAAACGACAGGGGTTGTGCACCCAGACTACTTTATTGAGATGATCTGGGTGCCTATATTGTCCCTTTAAGCAATGGACTTAAATTAACATTCTGACCGATCCTTAACTGGCCTTCACAAAGACAATAAATAAGATAAAGTAGAGGGGTTACAAATAAAATATAGCCTCAAAGTATAATTTATATAACTTATGTGTATTGTAGCAGCTACTGTTTACTTCAAGATAGTATTTAAACATTGTAACATGATAGGGTGTTTTTATTGACCGTTTTGTTGCCAAAATAAAAAAAACAAAAACTTTTTTTTATATTTAAAACCCTTTGCAATATGTTTGTTTGTGTGTAGATTATTACTTAGAACATTGTTTGTGCTAGTTGAATAGCTCTTTACAGAATAAAAAATTGGCATTGCCTACTAACTATAAAAATTTCAGCCGCTACGAAAAATATTGCTATCATCATATGTAATTCCGCTCTTAATTATATTTCTTTTTAGTGCAATAATGGATTTTGAACAGTGTGATACAGTACAAAAGGCAGACACAATATTTAGTTCAGCTTGCAAGATGGTGACTAGAGATATAGTTTGTCTAAACCCAATAAGCTGCAATCTTCATGTACACCATAACAGCTAATGTTTAGCGTCCCTATTTTAATACATTGTGTGCTTTATGTTTAATATTCCTGAGACACTGTATAGCTGCTGGTAAGTAACACTCTGTACTGACATAGAATGATGTAAGGATCGTATTATGATTAGTCATTGGCCTTTTGGCCCTTATCTGTTAAAAGAAAATACACAAATGAATGTTCTTTGCTTTGGAAAACTGAATGCATAAACAACAAATTTGTTTCTGAAACGTAATAACCTAATTTTTATCTTACCTGCAAACTCAAATCTATTAAGCTGCAAGGCAGTGGTTCTTATCAATTTTTGACAAGGATCCAAATTTGACAAGGATCCAAATTATGTCCATGGCATTAACTAGTAGACATGTGCATTCGTTTTCGTACGAATATGATTTTGTGTGAAAATTCTGTTTTCATATTCGTTCATTAAAACGTAAACAAAAGCACCACATACGAAATATAAATGAAACGAAAGGGCAAATGCTGAATGCATTACCTTTTCGTTTTGTTTCGTTCCTTTAATAGACTCCGTGATGCAGGGGAATTAACCCCCACAGCACGGAGAAATAACACTGCGCATGCGCAAAAAGAAAAAGCAAGGAGGGAGCCGGCAGTGCTACCAGCTCCCTCCTTGTAATAAATATTCCCCCCCCCCACATTAAAATCTATAGGGGTCATTATGACCCCCATATTAATAAAAGACAGGTTAAATCCTCCCGCATGCATGCTGCGAGTAGGGGCATGTCGTCTAAACAAATTTAAAGGTACTAGTGACTGGGCAGCTATATGTGCCCAGTCGCTAGTGCAATAAGGGGGGACCTGGCACAGGTTCCCCCGTCCCCCCATGTTGGGGAACACAAATAACTAAAATGAGGGGACATAGTCCCCCCTCCCCCCGCACCGCTTCCCGTGACCGTCGGGTGGGGACCTTAATTAAATAAATAATGGGGGGGGACACCTAATGTCCCCATAGGGTCCCCACCCATGAGTGGCGGGTGGGGACCCTAATTAATTAAAAGGGGGACCTATTGTCCCCCCTGATCCCACCCATAAGCAGCGGGTGGGGACCCTAATTAAATAAATAATGTGGGGGACCTAATGTCCCCCCCAGGTCCCCACCAATGAGCGGCGGGTGGGGATGCTAATTAATTAAAGGGGGGACCTAATTTCCCCCCTGGTCCCCACTGATGAGCAGCGGGTGGGGACCTTAATTAAATCAATAATGGGGGGGACCTAATGTCCCTTCCCATGACCAGCGGTTGAGGACCACAAATAATAAAGTGACTAAGGATCCCCAAGCCCCTAATAAAGCCCCCAATAAAAATACCCTACTTACCCCCTCACCCTAATAATAGTGATGGGGGCCAATAAACTAACCCTGTAAAATAAAATGTCATACTTACCATTAGATGTCTTCTTTTCTTTTTTCAGCCCCAAAAAAGGCCAAATAAAAATCCATAATACCTGTCACAACTGTTTTTTTTTTTTTTTTTTCTCCTTTTATACAATAATTGATAGTGAAGACAGACTAGATCAGTGAATGCCCAAGCCCAATGGGCAGAGTTATGTCTAAAGTTAAGAATGTTCATTTATGGATAAGGGCATCTGGTAACATTTGTAATTCAAAAGGGGAAGGGGGAGAAGGGAGAGAAAAGGGAAAGAAAAGAAAAATCTATACTGTTTTCATATAAGGGGTTTGACATAAGCTATGGTCTAAGGTAATGTTAACCTGGTTTAATGTTGGGAGTTATAAAATTACGCCATAATTTATAGTTATCATATACTATTTTCTGTTAAGATGCCTTTCCTCCCTCACTCTCCTCTGTTTTGATATAATTATCTATATAGGGGATTGGAAATTTTTTATGCTATATCTCTGATGGGTAATTGAAGGCGACATATTGGATAAATACAAGAATGGTATAAAGCACATACGTAATTTATGGAGGTTTTTTTTTTTTCTTCTCATATTTTGTATTAACACTGTTAGGATTACAATTGGTACAGCAAGATATTATTAGTACACTTCTCCAATTACGGAGTTTGATAGTAAGGAATTTTAGAGATTCTACACTCGTATTTTGTAGTAATATAAGCTTTGGTCACAGTAATTACGATTCGACATTATTCAGCACTAATAAGAATGGAAGAAAGTTATTTATACACGAGTGGTAGTACAATTTCATAGTATGGGTCTATTCACTTATGATATAACTGTGGTTATTTGTGGGTTTTAAAGGGGTAAAGGACGTGAAGTGATTTGGTAATAGTAAGATAATACATCAGATGTAACGTTGATTTAGATCACAATAAATAAAGGTTGGATTTTTGGAATACTGTTTGGTCTCTGATGAGGTCTAGAGAAACTTTTTTTTTTTTCTCATTAGTGTTTTTTTTCTGTAATTATAGGTAGGTCCGTCCAGGTTGATATAAGCCCACAGGTCTCCTTATTTTGCTTCTTCCCTGGGATACGTTCCACATTTCATATTATATCCTGGAATCATAATGACTGAAGGAAGGGAGAGGAGAGGGAAATTAGCATCATTATAATGGATAGCTGCAAAATACATCAAGTAGTATCAGATTAGTAATTTATTGGGTTATGGTTCTAGGGGTTAGTGTGGTCATATATTCTAGTCAAAGTTGACAGCACTGTGGACTGCCATTTGACTGATTTTGGACCAGATACTTGGAATGCCGTTTGGTTTTTGAAGAGTTTGGAGGTCTTCCTCCTCTCACTAGGGTCTCTATTCCTGCAATTATAGGCAGGTCTTGTTCAGGGGGCTTCATGTATATATATATATATATGTATGTATATGTTCCCCACTGGATTACCAAGAGGCGATTTGTTCCCCCTCTTGAATTATTTTTTATGTTTCACGTATTTTATGTTAATGTGTATTCTTTTTTTGTTTTTGTTTTTTTCTTTTTTTGTCTGAGACTCGATTTGGGGTGTAATCAGGACAATAGGTGTTATGATGGCACTTAATGTGATATCATGGAATGTCCAGGGTTTGAATTCACCACAGAAAACGGGAGCGGTTTATAAATTTCTAAATGGAAATGATATTGATATTGCTTTTATCCAGGAGACACACTGGATTAATCCCCAGAGAGACTCTGGAAGTTTAAGAAATTCCCGTTGATATTTTCTTCCATTATGGAGGGGAATAAAAAAAAAAGAGGTACCGCTATCATAATCTCTAGCAGAATTAATTTTGAAATGATACATCTAACTGGGGATCCAATGGGTAGATATGTGATACTCATCGCAAAAATTAATGGTACTATATATACTTTAGTTAATATTAATGCACCAAATTCGTGCCCAGGGGACTTTTTGGATAAAACTATGGAAAAGGTTGATGAATTAGCATGTGGTAATATCATAATTGGGGGAGACTTTAATTGCGTATTGGACCCAGCACGGGATAAAAGCCATAAAAATGTTAGAGAATATAAATCTGTAAATACCTATGTTTCACATGTCCATCAGACCTATTCTCGAATAGATATGTTTTTGGTGAAAGCTGGGTTTTTGAGTTCTATTACTAAATCCAATATTGGATCCATAGTTGTATCAGATCATGCACCAGTATCCATTAAGATCAAGTTAAAAGGCGGTCTTAGACCAAGGACAAGGTGGAGACTTAACGAAAGCCTCCTGAAATCAGAGTGCAACATTGATTTTTTGTCATCTGAAATGGAAAACTTTTTGATTACCAATGATAATGGGGAAGTTTCTACGGTAATGGTATGGTGTACCCTTAAAAGCTATATAAGGGGACTCCTGATTAAACTTGGCTCTGAATCCAAAAACAAGAAGGGAGAATCTCTGCAAGAGTTAAGAATAAAATTGGCAAATAAGGAATGTTTAAATAAAAATATGGTGAATAAAGACTTAATTGAAGAAATAGTTAAATTAAGGGAAACTATCAAAGATAGAATTTATGATATGGTCAATAAAAATATACTATTCCTTAAACAAAGATGGTACCATAACAATAATAAAATAAATAAAGACCTTTCTAATAAAATTAAAAATAACTTCAAAGATAAATCTATAAAAAAAATTGTCTTAGGTGATAAACATTTAGTGTCACCAAATGATTTCGTAAATGCATTTGCGGAATTTTACAAATCTTTATATAACCTAGAGGAGGTAGGGAAGAGTAGAGAAGAAATGGATACATTTTTGAGTAATCTTAAATTACCAAAAATTAACCAAAGGAAGTTGGAAATGCTGAATTCCCCATTCTTACTATCAGAAGTAACAGAAGCAATAGATAAGTTAAAGTTGAATAAGGCTCCAGGCCCAGACGGCAATGTCAACAATGTTTTATAAAACCTTTTCTAGACTCATTTCCCCTATCCTTTTAGAGATGTTTACGAAGGCGTCCGCGGATACCCCCTTCCCCAACGAGATGTTATTGGCTTCAATCATTCCTATACCCAAAGTAGGGAAAGA